TAATGCTTAGTATACCATTATATGTATATTTAAAGGAGATTGCTCAGCTTCCATACATGTTTGGCCTAAAGACAAATAATCATGAAAAAATGTTTCCTAGATTCGAAATTATATATAAATTACTGTAGAAACGAATATTATTGACGGACACCCCTGAGAACTTCTACAAACCATATACACGGAATGATTTTGAGGTTATGTTTGCAAATAGGTACATAGGTATTAAAATAATAAAAAGTAAATATGTTATATAATAAACTAGGGAAATCAAGCCAAGTACCGAAAATATGATTAGATTCAGGTAGGTATATAAAGCATGTAGATTATCAGATAGTTGCCTGTTTTTAAAGTTAATGCACAAGAATGGCTTTTAACATCAGGTATCATCTATGCATTTCCGGTTATATTAAGGTACTCAGTGACAGAAACTGTGTGATGTGAAGAATTCCGAAACCGAAAAAATTACAAATCCTTTTTAAAATGAATATATTATACAAAGGTGTCCGTTAAAATCTAATACTGTAACATAAAGTATAAATTATGCCAAGAATTACCGTATATGTCAATATTTTTTGTACATTTGGGCCAATTTGAGCAATCTCCTTTATCTAAGCATGCTGAAGTCAGAAAGCCTAATTTTTGTGCGAGAGTAGAATAGCTTCGCTTATGTAAAAGCTAGTAAGTTGATATTGTAGTCAGTAATTTAGGTTCGATTTCATCGAATTAAATAAGTTTTTTGGTAATAAATATTGACTATCGTTTGGTGATCTGACAGGAACTAGGGACTTTGTATTTGATCTGAGGGAGGTCCCTATCGATCGCTGGGCCCTGGGCACTTGCCCAAAGTGCCCACTGGGAAAGAGGGGTCTGTGTACAATACATGTATTCTATCCGTTACCCTAGTATCCCATAACAATAACACAAGACTTACAATGCTTACTTTAGGGCTAGGCTAAATGGTGCGAGTGTTGGAAATATTTATTATTCTAACATGAACAAAACTAGTCTGAACTTATCCCTCGTTTATTAATAAGGGGGTGAGGGTCTGAAAATCAAAATAGCGACATGCCTATAGAATATATTTGGCGTAAACGGTTGAAAAAAAATATTAGAAAAAAGTTAAAGGTTGAATCAAAGTATCAGATAATTTGAGGCCATGAAAATCATAGTGGCCTAACTCATTTTTTAACCATAGTGGCCTATCTTACTAAGGCCAGAATGTCACCTATTTAGTTCACAGACTAAAAACCGTAACAGTGATTATGCTGCCATCTAGTGAATATTCGTTGTATCACTTTAAGACCACTCTGGTTCTATCAAAATGATCAATTTGAACTGGAAAATATCATAAACTCAATATTGTAAAAAATGAGTTAGGCCACCATGGTTCTCATGACCTCATTTTAATGGTTGAAAATATCAGTTAATATTTTTATTCAAATAAGTACAATATCTGAATGTTTTTATTAGTTCGATCAGTGGTAGAAATTATTCATTCATCATCAGCCTATGAATGTCCCCGCTGCTGGGGCACAGGCCTTCCCTATGGATAGAATGGGGAAATTGGGCCATGACCCACGCGGGCCCAGTGCGGATTGGCGGATGCTAACGACTACAGATGCAGCCGGGACCAACGGCTTAACGTGCCTTCTGAAGCACGGAGGAGCTCGATATAGTAAATTTTTGGTCACCCATCTAATGACCGACCACTGCGAAAGTTGCTTAACTTTCACTTACTTCACTTGTCAGATTATCCAAAACTAATGTTTTAGCAATAAGATGTACATATTTTTAAGGGTTTCTTACCCAAAGGGTAGTAACGGGACCCTACTAAGTTTGTATTAAATCGTAGCACCAATGCTACGGTGAATACGTAGCGCAATAGTTCGTAGAAAACCGTAGCATTGCCGTAGTCTGTGTCTGATTATATTACAGACAAAAATGCTTGGGTTTGAACTGTTCCAATCATTCCAACAGGTTTTCATAATATAAAAATGCATCGCTGAATGTGTTGCTAAGCACAAATCTCGAGAACAGCTGAACCGATTTCGATAATTCTTTTTTTTGAATATTCCTTGAAGTATGAGGATGGTTCTTACGCAAAGAAAAATTAAAAAAAAATGCCTGAAAAAGTCCAAAAACAACAATTTTCTATAGTCCCATACAAACGATTCGTAATAATACTTAAAAGTCAATTCGAACTTTAATACCATACCGTAAATTTCAAATGTTAGTCGAGAGGTTCCGGGAAGGCAAAACAATTGAGTGACGTGATGTCAATAGAAGTTTAGAAAAGGCAAATATACTATTTTCAGTTTTTTTTTATAATTATATATAGAGTCATTCTGTCTACACTACAGCTCTCCACCGAAGCGAAGCGAGGGCGGGCCACTAGTATTAAATAAATCATGATTGTATTGACGCTTTAACAACATAATGATTTGTAAATGTTGTTACATTATACTTTTAATGTTGTGGAGTATTTTCGCTTGTTTTTCTCCGCAGCTAAAAAATATGTCCATAACGAGTGGTAGGGAAAAAAAATTTTTGCCGATTCAAAAGAGTTGTCTATACATCCAATTTGAATAAAGATAATATTGGTTTCTGATTTCTGAGTGTTGCTGTCACTCTGTCCATCTGTCTGTATGTATGTCACCAGGCTTGAAAAGCGGCAACAGAAGTAGGCACATCATCTGTCAAAATTTCAACTGTCTAGCTATATAAGTCGTGTGACACTCGTGTCGCATTTCCGTTTCATATTTTCCATAGGAGTTCCATATAGACGACCTCCGCGGTCGAGTGGTTTGTACGCCGGGTTCATGGTGTCGCCGACTCGAGAGGTCCCGGGTTCGAATCCCGGTGGGAGCATATGTTTTGTGTGATGAATACGAGCATTTGTGCTCCAGTCATGGATGTTTAATATGTATTTCTATATAAATATACTTATATATGTACTGTATATGTATTCTATCCGTTACCCTAGTATCCCATAACACAAGCCTTATAGTGCTTACTTTGGGGCTAGGCTAATTGGTGTGAGTGTTGGAAATATTTATTATATACCCCCCGTCCGAAAGAAAGTTTCTTCTCCAACAAAAAAAAACACAAATTGTGACACAACTCAACATTTTATTCAACAAAAGGTGATCTTTATATACAATTTTTATCTTACAAACTACCTTATAATCCTTAAATACTTATACCACCATATTAAAATTATATAATTCCTTACAATTTAATGTAAATTTCATCTCGTAATTCATAATTCTAATTTCACAAGTAAAATTTTCCTAGTCACTTTAATGCGGAAGCGATTGAAATGAAAACGTAGATACCAAAAAAATACCAATAAAAATAATGTCAAAAATACTTAATACAGTAAAACCCGTTTAAGACGATTTCACAAGGACTCAACCAAAACCGCGTCTTAAGCGGGAACGCGTATTATGCGAAATAGGAGAATCTGGAATTTGTATATACAATATTTAAGAATTATGTATGTAATAAAAAATGCAGTGTGTTATTGGAGTATACTCCTTAAGAATCGATTTGCATATATAAGGGGCCCGATATGAGAAAAATGTGAGGAGTAAAATGTATCGATGAATGACATTAATGACCTCGTTACGTTTTTGGAATAGTGATTTTCAGTACAGATGGAATTATAATACATATTTACAAAATGATGTATAGTGTGTTTATATGATGTTTATATGATATTTTTGAAATTGTGAGTTTCCAGAAATACATAATAAAATATATGATGAATATTGCTGATGTTAGATGATAAAATGTGTGACATGGAACCTATGATAGTCGAAACCATGGGACAATTCCTGAGGTATCTCTACTTGTAACCGACTTCTTCGGACTTGATTTTGTTTTGTGTCTGTTCAAAGACAATCGTTTTTAGAGTGTAAACTCCGGTCGTGGGTCGGAGCTGACACACACAATTTTTTATTTATTATTACGTTATTCAAATTAATCACTTATTTTAGTTTGTCAAAAATATATTAAGATTTAAATACAAGATTTTAAGCATAATTAAACTTTTACAGTGCGTCTTTGCTATGATTCAAAGAAGACAAAATCGGAGTTGACTCGTCTTCTACTTAATCATTATCAGTAGGGCATCTTCTTGTGTGTTATTCACATTCTCATTGAATTTTATGCGCCTGCAAGAGGTAATACGTGTGGTAAGAGTTGGCGATTTAGGCGTATTAAACGGGAAGCCGCATCATATTAAGCGTTAACAAATGTATGGAAACATGTCTCAAGTTGCAGGGACTGACGCAAAATGGCGTATTATGCGAGAAATCGTATTAAGCGTGATCGTATTAAACGGGTTCTACTTTAGCAGATTTTTCGATCGAATTGGAGCACCAGTCTGGGGAAGTCACCTCCACCTTACAGATGTTCACAGTAAAATAACTCTACCTTTTTTTTTATTTTTTTTATAGATAGGTCCGACAAATGACTCCACCCCACCTGATGTTAAGTGAAGGTGAAGTCCAGACGCGAAGATAGCTGATACAGCAGTTCTACCTGCCACACCAGCCATTCTCACCTTGCCGGCCTGCAAGTTGCTTCTTCACGCCTCTTCTAAAGGATCCCAGGTTGTAAGAGGGAGGGAACACGTGAGCGGGCAGAGCATATACCTATATATATATACCTTTTCGTATTTTTGTGTTTCTGTCAGTGAGTTCTAGGGCTCCATGGGGTAGGGCACCGGGTCAGGGTAGGAGACAATAGTGCAAGTGATATTTTTGGTATCGCAAGCATCTATAGGCTCTGATAGCCGCTTACCATAGGTTTGTTTACCACATTTATAACATAAAAACAGTCACCATTTGAGATCGGTCGTTACAAAAGTCATGTAACATCCACAATCACTCACCGAATAAAGCTTATTGATTACAGCAACCATAACACATTGTAACACAAAGTTTTTCACTGTTAACCGTTAACGTTCACAATACACTTTTTTCTTGAGTTTGTTCTCAATCACTGTTATATACGTCAGGCATAAGGCCCACGACCATATGTTCGGGTGGGCACTTTTTGATTTTATCGTGTCTTCGGGAGTGCAGGGAGAGCTTGCTTCGGGTCATGAAGCGTTTCTTGCAGACCTCGCATTCGTATCTGAAATAAGAAAAATTATTTATCAGAATTTCCCAAACTTAAGCGAATATTTCATTTATTGTCATACTGGATTCGAACAGGCTCCTTTGATGCACTAACTGCTATGCTGCTAGCGGAGAAATATTAACCAATAGGATTGCATAAAATCTGTCTACTGAAGGGGAGTGGAGATTTTGTGCAATCCTATTGGTTAATACTTCTCCGTTCCAGTAGCCAAGAAACCTAATGTCAATGTCGAATTTCCTCTAATATTTCTTAAACTACAAAGCAGCTAAATCTCTTCGCATTGTAGGTAAGTCATGATGACAAACAAAATGAACATTTCTTGTTACCATACAAAATAAAATATTCTGCATTCATATTTGTGTTTCTTATTAGATTATAGGCTACTTGACACTTTTTGTAAATCAGTGTAAACTCTATATAATGACATTAAAGGGACTGTACATTTTATGGCGTTATAGAGTTGTTGTTAAATGGAAAGAAGAAAAAATTGTGTGTCAGCTCCGATGCACGACTGGAGTTTACTCCTTAAGTTCGATTGTCTAACCAGACGCAAAAAGAGTTTATTTAACTTAAAAAAGATTGATACTGTATGAAAGGGTAAATTAACAAATTAATGAAAATAATATACATATATAAATATATATTTATTCATTTCATATACATTTATTATAACTAATCGACGAAATATTTTACATTAAACTTTTTACAATAGTCAATTTCAGATGTGCATAAATATATCATTAGGAATGTTGATAAATTATGTAATTATTATGATCAGACTCACGGACCTGAAAAAAAGACGGACGTAATATGAAAGGCAAATCTTGTGAAGCATGACAATGACATGTAGGTCAGACAAAATAATGTGTTGTACACTACCTACACTCACACTAATGCACCAGGTCGGACAATCCGCTGCCATTTGAACTCGCGTGACAGCGCCAATCACACGTTCAATTGCTCCGATATATTTTTAAAAAAATGCCGTCTTGTGTGGTGAAATCTTTTAAAAACTACACGAGTAAATGTGAAAAGTCACAAGGAATCACCTACTATGCTTAAGTATTGACGATTCTTGATATTTTTTTTATATTATATTTTATTTACAAGGATGAAAATTGTAAACAAAAATACAACTGTGTGGTTACTTTATTTACGGGAAATTTTCCCTAAAAGTAGGGAAATGTATATTTCTTGCATTTGTGACTAGGCAAGATAAGATTTCATAAATTTTTAGGGTTCCGTATCCCAAAAGGAAAAGAAAAGAAGCCATATTATTCATAGAATATTTTATATAAATTATTGTCTTGTCTTCTTTCTAATAGGTTTCCTAGAAATAGAAACCGTAGAGATGACTGGGTTTTAATTATTCGATACTGCAAAGGGGATAACACCTGTGTGCAGTGCACACTTTGTTTGGTTTTCATTCAAACCGGAGCCTGTTAAGAAGAAATATTAAAAACTAGTACTACTAAAGGTCCGCCCTCGCTTCGCTTCGGTGTAGAGCTGAATTGTTGTATTATACACAATGCCATTCATCTATGATTTTTCTTATACCTGCATGCAAAGTCTCAGCCCGATCGGTTTAAAATTGACAAAGTTCCATACAAACTTTCATTCCCTATTTTATCCCCTTGGGGGTAGAATTGATCAAAATCCTTTCTTAGCGGATGCCTACGTCATAACATCTACCTACATGCCAATTTCAGCCCGATCTGTCCAGTGGTTTGGGCTGTGCGTTAATAGATCACTATGTCAGTCAGTCAGTCACCTTTGAGTTTTATATATATAGATGCAGTTGAAACCCGTCAACAGAACTACTATACAAATAAACTTTTGAAACTAAATAACGATAACCAAAATGAATTACAGGCAGGACTTGAACTTGCATTTTCTGCTGTCTGGGTGGATGCACTAATTGCTATGCTACCGAGAACTTAATGATCGTGACGAATTTCTTCTTGTATTTCTTAGGCTGCACGGTAGTGCCATTTCTTCGCATTGTAGGTAAACCACGATGTCAAATGAAACCATAGATATAGGATGTAAAGATATACAGAGTACCTATCGCTACTGTTCCAAAAAATATCTGTGCATGTGTGCGTATCGGTGTTTGATTCCGAGTGATAGTGTCGATTTATCCAGATATGCTTAAAACACAGGATACCATAACACATACTTATTCAGTTTGTAATAAGCACATTTGTGTTGTGTTATATCTATTTATTTATTTATTATTATTATTATATGCATTATTGTTTTCTTAGTTTCACAGAATTTCATAATAAATTTTATCTCAGTACGATTTGACAGGGCGATGCGGCTCTTGCAAAAAATATATTATTAGACGAAAGGTACATCATGTTGCGTCTCTTTCTACGTTATAGGATTGGCATGATATCTCTTTTCCTCACTCTGTCAGTCTTTAAATACCTACTCAATCTATGAATGAAATACTTACATTTGAAAGAAGAAATAGCAATATTAGTCTATTATATTTTTATTTTAAGCATAAATCTGCGCGATTAATGTATATTAATGTATGTTATTAACCTCATACATAATATTAAGACACTAACATTTATATGTAAACAATAAAGTTCTTTTTACATAACAAGTGCTTTCTTTCTTTTCTATCTCGGTGTTCCTAAAAATTAATTTTTATAGACCGTTTAAATTGCTGAAAAATCAGGAGCTCACAATGAGTAAAACACGTGGTAAATATCCCGTTTTTATAATATATATTTGATTACATAATGTTAACAATGTTTTAGTTTGGGAGATTTAAAAAGTAGGGAAATTGATGATTTACCCGACAACCCTCAAATTACGCACACGCTGTAAGCGGGCGGCCATTAGCATGCTTCACTCGAGATAAGACGAGGTTACGTCCGTCTTTTTTTCAGGTCCGTGGATCAGACTATTATCATTTTTTTAAATATTAATTAAATCAACATTGTCTGCATTATTAATTACAGTGACAAGGGGTTTATGGTTATTAATGTCAATCCGTCATCTTTGTTTGTCAATGTTGCGCGACATAGGATGCGCACCAAAAACGTAACGAGGTCATTCATCGATAGATTTTACTCCTCACATTTTTCTCATACCGGGCATTATATACGCAAATCGATTCTTAAGGAGTAAACTCCAAAAATCAGAATTATGAAAATAAAAAGTTTATTTCAAGCTAGTAGTTATGTACATAAAAAGATAATCTTATTTGAACGCTATTGCGTATATTCTGTTATTTTTATCTGACATTATATTTTTTTTGTCATGGTCAACAACAGTACACGTGCAATCCCAATTTGTAAGCAAAAGAAAGAATTTCTTAGAAAGTTTGGTTTGCATGATGCCGGCAGTCGAGTTTTTTTACCGGGCTAGGATAATAAAGCGACAAAAGAACGTACATAGCTGCTGCAAGCCAGCGCCATCTCCTCGCATTGTAGGTAACCCATTTTTTTCTACTAAACTATCATATTATAGTTATAATTTTTATTTAACATGTCACTACAACACTCTACCTCTCTCTCACTAGCCTTTCTCTCTCTTTCCCCTCTGTCTCCTATTATATTATCTCTTATCTATTAGACAAGTCCGTCCGTCCGTCTGTCTGTGGTGCTGTTTCAGCGGCCAAACCGTAAGAGATAGATAAAGAGAATGTTTAAGTTATAAGTTAAGAATAGTCTGATAAGACTACAAACCGGATTTGAGTGACGTAGCACTTCCGGTTTTCGAGAAATCACGAATTTCAAACGAAACCACAGAAAATCTCCAAAGTTCACAATTAATTAAATACATTTTTTTTTTAAATCAGGTTTTGGTGTACATTTGGTTCACTGGTCTGCTAGTAACTCTTATCATCATACCTCCTATCTCCCACGTGCATCTTGATATGCATGACCAGATTGTTTTTCTGCGTGAAGCTTTTCGAGCAAATCTCGCAGGTGTGAGGTTTGATTCCCCGGTGAGCCTTCTCATGTCTATCCAGATCCGCCTTACGGTAGAAGGAGGAACCGCACTCACCGCAGTTGAAGTTCTTAATGCCTGAAAATTAAACAAGTTTCAACGGTATAGATGCACTGATTTTATTGAGTTACTAGCGGCCCTCCCTCGCTTCGCTTCGGTGTAGAGCTGACTACAGTTTTTGTTCTCAGGCTTGTATTATACACAATGACATTCATCTATGATTCTTCTTATACCTGCATGCAAAATCTCAGCCTGATCGGTTTAAAATTGACAAAGTTTCATACAAACTTTCATTCCCTATTTATCCTCTTGGGGGTAGAATTGATCAAAATCCTTTCTTAGCAGATGCCTACGTCATAACATCTACCTGCATGCCAAATTTCAGCCCGATCTGTCCAGTGGTTTGGGCTGTGCATTGATAGATCACTATGTCAGTCAGTCAGTCACCTTTGAGTTTTATATATATAGATTGACGTTTCGCATCCTTTACAGTACCCTTAGCACGAACTTATATCGAATTCGTAAAGTATGCGAGTCCTAAATGTCATTGTCAAATGTGGACTGATTTTTAATAATAATAATTACATTTATTTCAGATTATTCATCCATAATGGTTAGTAACAATTAGGCTTACAAATGTAGTGTTAGTAAATTGAATTCATAAAATAAAATAAAATAAAAAACAAAACGAAACATATTAATAATAAATAAACATATTAATAATTTTAGTTCTCGTTACATACTTTGTGGCACTGCTGTTCAAGTTTCCATACAAAATTTGACATTGACATTTCAGAAATTTCGCAAACGATTCGAATTCGATATTGGTTTGTGCTAGGGGTACAGGTAGTTTACGGTCAAAATTATAAAAAAGAATGAAATAAAGTACTTATTAATTAAATTAGCTGATAAATTCATACATAGACAATAAAGTTTAAAAACTTCCAATGAAATATCGGACCTTTCAATAAAAGTCTGTCGAAGGTAGCTCATGTGAAATATCAATAAATAAATAAAATCAGTGCATCTATACCCTTGAAACTTGTTTTATTTAATGAGTGATGTGCGTGAAAACCTAAGAAACAAATTTATTAACGGATGTTTGAGGGAGGGGTAGGGCATAGCGGCATACCTCCACCTTACAGAAGACGACAGTAAAATAACACTATCTTCCGGTGGTAGCCTACAAGCAAGCACGCACCATGATTTTACACAAAATTCTCATCAACTAATCTTGTCAATTTTGACAGTACAAGTGACATTCGCACGGCTACGTTCTAAAACTTACTCTCTTAAAATGCGAAACGTCAAGGCGCGAACGCGTATATTCTAAGATACTGCATATAAGTCATCCCATTTGTGGACAGCACAAGTGGAAGTCTCTCTTTCTCTGTGTGTCTTTCTCTCTCTCTCTCTCTCTCTCTCTCTCTCTCTCTCTCTCTCTCTCTCTTCCTCTTCTCTCTCTCTCTCTCTCTCTCTTCCTCTTCTCTCTCTCTCTCTCTCTTCCTCTTCTCTCTCTCTCTCTGTCTCTCTCACTATTTACCTTTATGTTACAGCTGGTGTATACTTAGCTGCCTTAACTGCATAGAACTCCTCCCACAAGGGAGTAATTACCTATCTCTATTTAATTTTATAAAATAAATAAATAAATATTGACTCACACCAATTAGCCTAGCCCCAAGCTAAGCACTATAAGGCTTGTGTTATGGGATACTAGGGTAATGGATAGAATACATATACTGTACATATATAAGTATATTTATAAAGAAATACATATTAAACATCCATGACTGGAGTACAAATGCTCGTATTCATCACACATACATCTGCCCCCACCGGGATTCGAACCCGGGACCTCTCGAGTCGGCGACACCATGAAACCCGGCGTACAAACCACTCGGCCACGGAGGTCGTCAAATGTCGTTATGTAGAGCTAGTATATACTAAGATGCCCCTATCGCTCTCTTTTTCTGTCTGTCTGACTCTCCATTTACCTTTATGTGACACCTAGTGTATACCAAGATGCCCCTATCTCTCTCTCCCTTTTTCCGTCTATCTGTCTGTCTGTCTATTTACCTTTATGTGACAGCTGGTGTATACTAAGATGCCCCAACTGCGTATAAGTCTTTCCACAAGTAGTGCACATGTACGGCCTCTCCCCTGTGTGGGTTCTACGGTGCTTCTTCAACTCATAGCCGGTCTGGAACACTTTCTCGCATACATCGCAAGGGTGGACCTTGTTGGATGGCTTCTTTCTGCCTTTTTTCCTAAAACATAGTGGAACATATTACTTTTATCGACACATATGATGACCAGGGGGCCAATCGCCTAACGGAAATGCTTTGGAAAACGCTAACGCTTACGATTTTATTTTGTTACTTCTAGCTGCCTGAGGTATTCAAATGCCTCGCGCTCTTTCTTTTTCTTTTGCATTGGTAATAACAATATTAAAAAAAATGAGCGTGAGGTATTCGAAAACCTCAGGCGGCTAGAAATAACAATATAAAATCGTAAGCGTCAGCGTTTCCCAAAGTATTTCCGTTAGGCGATTGGCCCCCAGTTAGTTAAGCAATAGCCTGTTTGTTGTTCTGCTTCAACACATTTGGGTTCAAACCCCATTAAGAGAAATTAAACATCATCATCAGCCTATTAATGTCCCATTTTGAGAAAGCCATCGGGCTAAAAGAGATACTTTAACTTGGTGGCGAGTCATAATAGATCTTACAGGTTGCAGTGACTACAGTCCCGTTAGGTCTGCATAGCCCCAAAACTCAAAAATAATAATAATTAAATACACTAAAGGTCCCAGTTGTAAACCCAGCAGCAATGCATTAATATGTTTTATTTTTTATTTATTTCCAACACACACCAATTAGCCTAGCCCCAAAGTAAGCACTGTAAGGCTTGTGTTATGGGATACTAGGGTAACGGATAGAATACATATACAGTAAATATATAAGTATATTTAGATAGAAATACATATTAAACATTCATGACTGGAGTACATATACTCATATTCATCACACAAACATCTGCCCCCACCGGGACTCGAACCCGGGACCTCTAGAGAGGTGACACCTTGAAACCCAGTGTACAAACCACTTGGCCACAGAGGTTGTCAAATACGTATTTCTATCTTTTACCCTAATATTCTATTAACACAAAGCTAGGCAAAAATTTAGAAATTAGTCGCCCGTTTTAGGGTTTCCGAGGATGGGGAAGGGGTGTGTGGAGGGCATTGAATCCCACTATTGGCCCCGCTATTTTCGATCGCCAGAAATACTTATTAACTTTCATAAAACAAGGTCTCTTTTAAAATAAAAATAATATTACTTTAACCCCTTACACATCCAGTATCCTGAAATTCAGGCGACTTGTTTCTAAATCCAACCCCAAAGCTATGCAGTACTTACCATGGATTATGCTAATTGGATTTAAAGAAAAAATGTAGGTAAAAATCTAATTTCATAGCCTAATAATTATCAAATGTCAGGTTGCACTTCAAACTACCCGCAAGGAATAGTTAGTTGCTGGCACGTACTATGTTTTATTGTGCTCCCAGACCAAGGAGTGAAATTCCTGACGACCTCCTTGGCCGAGTGGTTTGGACGCCGGGTTTCATGGTGTCGCCGACTCGAGAGGTCCCGGGTTCGAATCCCGATGGGGGCAGATGTTTGTGTGATGAATACGAGCATTTGTACTCTAGTCATGGATGTTTAATATGTATTTCTATATAAATATACTTATATATGTATTCTATCCGTTACCCTAGTATCCCATAACACAAGCCTTATAGTGCTTAGCTTAGGGCTAGGCTAATTGGTGTGAGTGTTGGAAATATTTAATTTATTATATTATTTTATTTAATTAAACTCACTTTTGTGGTACTTCCTCTTCTTCATCTGATATTTCAATGACATCACACTTGATCACAACTTCCTCAACAGCTGTATCGGAAATCAAAGGTTTCTCTGGGTTTACAGCATTTTCTGAGTTCTCAGCCTTCGCTGAATCAGCAGAATTTGCTGAAACTGTCGATTGGTCTACACTGTTGTGTCTCTCTTCGACCTGTTCAGTATTAGCTGGCTTTTCCTGGTTTTCTACATTTTCTTCCATAACTAACAACTGTTAACCTGCAAGTATATGAAAATATTGATACTATAAGATAAATACACCATGTTCCTGAGGATATACATTAACTTTAAATAATACTTCTATAGCTCTTGTTAAACATATCGTACAAGCAAATAGCATAGTTTTTAAGTTATTGGTAATTTAAGTTTAACCAACTTAAGTTGTGTTGTTCAGTGAGAATGAGTCTTTATCTGTGAGATGTTGCCACTTTATGCAACCAAAACTATCAAACTATCAACTCTTTGTCAATGGTCATTAAGTCATAGTTTCAAAAGTCAAAATTTTAAAAGACATTGTTGACGTCAAGAAAAATTATGTGGACATGTGAACCAAAGTTTCAAATGCGACGTTGCCAGCTCAGGTAAAGAGTAATTCATATTAGATAAATTACATCTAAGCATTTAGTTTGTATGAAAATAAAAAATGTTAAGGAAATTGGAATTCATAAAAATGTCCATAGTAAAAAATGATCAATTTAATATGCCAAAGTTAGTGTATAACCTCAGGAACACGGTGTATAATAATACACAACATTGTTATAACAATAGTCCCCAAACTAAGAAATCATGTCTCTTGGGGACTAGATGTATACATACTTACACCAAAAGATTATTGCTTTTTACTAAAGCTATGTTACTTAATGCTGGCGAAAACAAAACTGTCTATTTGTAAAATATTATGCAGTCAAATCTTAACCATAACAAAATAAGTACATTATCTAATTCACGAAAAATGTTAGGTATACTTGTTAGAGCGACAAATTGCTAGGAGTTTATATTTGCGTGTAATCTCATTGCTGTTATTCGTATGGTTTGTGGTTGTCAGAATTATTTGAATATACTGACTGACATGCACTTCAAGTTTTGGTTGTTACTTGCTTAGATACGTTGTTTGTACTCATGTGTTCTATTTTGTTTGTAAATATATATTAAGTCAATATTAGCTGGCATTCTTTATTTATTATATATGATCGAGGTTATCTAGTCCTCGATCAGGTTATGGGCCGCATATGATAAATATAAGAAGACTTAAAATATGGCTACACAAGGAAATAGTATGAAGGTAAATTCGAGCAGCGATGGATCGGAGAGATCTCAGCCTTCACACGACACAGGTATGAGCATAGAGAAACTCGATGGAAATTCGAATTATAGTACTTGGAAATTTTTGGTAGAATTATATCTAATTCACGATGATTTATGGGAGTACACACAAACAACGCCAGATAAAACTGATGTAGTAGGCTGTAGGAAAGACCAAAAAGCGAGAGCAAAAATATGCTTGATGGTAAAGCCCCACTGTCTGATTCACGTTCGAAACGCTAAGACAGCTAAAGAAGCGTGGGACGCTTTGAGATCGGCTTTTGAAGATAAGGGTCTTAACAACCGTTGCAGACTTTTGACCAAGTTAGTTAGCCTAAAACTTGAACAATTTACATCAGTTAGGAGTTATGTAACAGAAATAATGTTAGTAGCGCAGCAATTACGGGACATCGGTAAAGAAGTTGACGATGAGATGCTAGCTGCTCTCATGTTACAAGGTTTGACCGAAACTTTTCAACCAATGAGGCTTGCGATTGAAAACTCAGGAGTAGAGTTGACCACAGATTACATAAAAACCAAATTACTTCAAATGGAAGATTCGTATAACACTAGTAGTTCAAGCAGTAATGATATAGCATTACGTGTTGATACACATAACAAGACTAGGAGATTTCCATACAAGAAGTCACAGAAGATAAAATGCTTTATTTGTAATGGACCACATAAAGCGAGAGATTGTCCAGAGAACTCAAAAAATAAGAAGGCTTCGTTAGCATTGGGACTTGCAACTTCAGGAAAACCAGACGAGTGGATTTTAGATTCTGGGGCATCAAGCCATATGACTAACAGCAAAGAGTATTTAATGGACGTTAGAATGTATGACAAAAAAGTGGAAATCGGATGTGCGAATGGTAGTAAAGTATATGGTATTGGAGAAGGTTCTGTGGTATGTAAGGAGAATGTTGCAGGCGTAAGTGAAGTGATGTATGTACCACACTTAGCAACTAACTTGTTGAGCGTGAGTGCTATTGTAAAGAAGAATGTAGTTGTTGTATTTTCAGCGAAAGGCTATGAACTGTTGAAAGCGGATGGATGTAAGGTTACTGGTGATGTCTTATATACAGGTGTGGAGGATAATGGTGTTTATAAACTTAAGCTCTGTTCACAGGAGAAAGCACTAGCCTCGACTGTCAGTACCATAGACATAGAGTTGTGGCATAGACGTGTGGGACATCTTGGTGTACGGAACCTTAAGCTGCTGAGAGACAAATTGGCTACAGGGGTAAGTTTTACTAATAATCCAGTTAACTTACAGTGTAGAGCTTGTTTGATGGGAAAGCAGACCAAACAACCGTTTAAAAAGGGTTTAGCAAACAGAGCTGATGATATTTTAGGTTTGGTTCATACTGATGTATGTGGACCAATGAGTAAAGACTCAATGTCGGGCTGTAAATATTTTCTAACGTTTATTGATGATTTTACAAGAAAAACTTTTGTATATTTTATCAAAAACAAAAGTGAAGTCTTTCAAAAATTTTTAGATTTCAAGACATTTGCTGAGAACCAGTCTGGAAAGAAATTAAAAATTCTTCGATCGGATAATGGCAAGGAGTATGTCAATGAGCAGATGAAGAAATTTTTGAAGCAGTGTGGTATACAACAGCAATTAACGGTTGAGTATACACCCGAGCAGAATGGAGTTGCAGAACGTGCAAACCGCACAATAACAGAAAAAGCTAGAAGTATGCTTCAGGAAGCAGAGCTAGATGAAAAGTTCTGGGCAGAGGCGGTGAACTACGCTGTGTATTTAAAGAATAGATCACCGACCATTGCAGTTAAAGGTAAAACGCCAGAGGAAGCGTGGACTGGAAGGAAGCAAGACTTAAGCATGCTACGAATTTTCGGATGCAAAGCGTTTATTCACGTACCAAAAGTAAAACGGACGAAATGGGACGCTAAATCTAAAGAAATGATTCATGTAGGCATCTGTGAAGAATCGAAAGGCTACCGCTTAATAGACCCAATAACTAATCATTTAAGCAAGGCCAGAGATGTTGTGTTTTTCGAGAACGAGAATATAAACTGTAAGCAAACAGTTGAAAGAGTTGAGAAGTCAGCACCGCTTAGTTTTAAGGATAACGTCACAGAATATGAAGATCACATAGAAGTTCAAGATTTTCAAAGAGATCAAATTGAATCGGAAAATGAACCTGTAAATATTGTAAGTAGTAATGATGATGATATTCTGCATGAGAATTTAGAAACAGAAACAAATGAAGAGAGTTCTGTTACAAGAAGATATCCTTTAAGAGATAGAAAGAAGAAAGAGATACCTGACTGCATTACATATCACACAATAGCTGATTGTGATGATCCGCAGAGTGTGGATGAGGCATTGTCTAGAAGAGACAAACACTTATGGAAAGCTGCGATCGACGAGGAGCTTAATGCACTCAAGAAAAATAAAACATGGAAATTGACGTTACCTCCAGAATCTTGCAACGTCGTTGATTCTAAATGGATATTTAAAATCAAAGAAGAGGCAGGGGGAAATAAGAGATACAAAGCACGCCTAGTTGCAAGAGGTTTCAGCCAGAGGCATGGAATAGATTATTTTGAGACATTTTCTCCAGTTATTAGACATAGCTCTTTGAGGACATTGATTGCATTGGCAGCTCATATGAATCTTAATATAGACCACATGGACGTGAAAACCGCATTCTTGAATGGTAACTTGGACGAGGTGGTTTATATGAAGCAACCAGAGGGTTTCGTTGAAAAGGGAAAGGAGAATTATGTGTGCCAGTTGCAAAGATCATTGTACGGACTTAAACAAGCTCCCAGAGCATGGAATAAAAAACTTCATTTGGAATTGCTGAAACTTAAATTCAAGAGGTCTGAGTATGAACCATGCGTTTATATTAGATCTACAGGAGATAAAGTAATTATTCTTGCCATATATGTAGATGACATTTTATTGTTCTGGAATAATGTTGAGGAATTAAGGAAGGTTAAAACCGATCTCACAAACAAATTTGAGATGAAGGACCTTGGCACAGCGAAGTTGATGTTGGGAATACGAATAGCACAAGATAGTGAAGGGATCAAACTGGATCAGAAGGGATACATAGAGAAGGTTATTCGTACATTTGGAATGGAGAACTGTAAACCAGTTGCTACTCCAGCAGTACCAGGACAAAGGCTAGAGAGGCCACAGCTTGATCAAGAACTTGATGAAAAAGTACCGTATCGCGCATTGATTGGTTCACTGATGTACCTTGCTGTTTGTACGCGCCCTGACATAGCACACACAGTAAGTCAGCTCAGTCAGTTTAACAACAGCTACGGAGACGAGCATTGGATAGCTGCAAAGAGAGTGCTCCGCTATTTGATGGGAACCAAGGATCTAGCATTATTCTATAGAAGGGGAAACCAAAATGAGTTTGTATTAGGTTATGCTGATGCAGATCACGCCGGAGACTTTGATAGAAGATCAAATTCAGGTTGGGTATTTTTATCTCAAGGAGGAGCTATTTCTTGGGAGAGCAAGAAACAACGTACAGTGGCAATATCGTCTGCAGAAGCTGAGTATGTAGCGTTATCAGAGGCTGCAAAAGAGGCAATTTTCATTCGCAGGTTTATTGCAGAATTAAGAGATGGACCCAATCCCGCAATCTCAATTTTCACTGATAGTCAGTCGGCTATGGCAATTGCTAAGAATCCTGTACATCACCAGCGTACGAAGCATGTGGATGTAAGATATCACTTTGTACGTGAGGCGATTGAGAATGGTGACATTCATTTGAGGTACAAGGAAACTAATAGAATGACAGCTGATGTTTTGACAAAGTGTTTGTTGAGAGGTAAATTTGAATGGTGTGTGAAAAGCATGGGTTTGAGTTGTGTGTGAATAAGATGGCTGTTTATATGGTAGGTACACTAACAGGCATGAGATTAAGGAGGAGTGTTAGAGCGACAAATTGCTAGGAGTTTATATTTGCGTGTAATCTCATTGCTGTTATTCGTATGGTTTGTGGTTGTCAGAATTATTTGAATATACTGACTGACATGCACTTCAAGTTTTGGTTGTTACTTGCTTAGATACGTTGTTTGTACTCATGTGTTCTATTTTGTTTGTAAATATATATTAAGTCAATATTAGCTGGCATTCTTTATTTATTATATATGATCGAGGTTATCTAGTCCTCGATCAATACTAAACAAATGAGTGTACTCATACTCAACGGCCGGCGCTAAGGTATCTTAACACAAAACTTGTTTTTAATCAATACAGTTAAAAAAAACAAAAAAAAAACAAGAGATTAAACGATACGGCAACTGTAGCACTTACTTCTAGTGTTTATAACAAATGTACCAAACGGTAACCAAGAATTTTGATTGTAGTGGTATTATGTTTTGATTGTTTACATTTACAGCATTTTATTTAATAATATTAACTTCTACAAAAGAAAAATCCAAAGCTAAAACCTCAACTTTGACAGACGCACAGCAAAGCAAGCAAAGCAACGCGGCGAACGTAGCGTACGTCAAACAATGTCAATGTCAAACGAACAGATAATGTTGCATGGTAATAATCAAAAAAAGGAAGAGAATTAACGAAAAATAACAGAGTGTAGAGAGTGTAAATGCGGAATATGGTCTGAAAATAAACCGTGCAAAAAAGAAGGTGATGTTTATGGACACAGTGAAAGTCGTACAAAGAACATGGAAGTTATCTGACGATGAAACCCTATAGAAATTTATTTACGTCAGTTTAATGGTAACACAGGTGAAGACTGTAAGAACAGCTCAGATTGCGAACAGAGGAATAACCAACAAGTTAAAAGTCAATCTCATGGGAAAACACAAGGGTTTCATTAGTTAGGTATACGAAGGAGAAAAGTTCGAATCATAATAATAATTTTAGATGAAAAATAATAACAATTTGAGATCAAATATAATATATATTTATAGTTCTGTTTTTATTTATTTTTAAGCATTTAACTGATAGATGTTTAAATCTAAAGAAAAGTTTACTAGAAAAAAATCCTCGCGGCCCAGGCAGCGGACGGGACTCGAACCCGCACCCTTCGCAATTCGAATGCACTGACCATTATGCTACCACGGCCTTATTCGCCGCGTCAAAATTTACCTAGCCTTAAGCTGCAAGGCAGCGCCATCTCTTCGCATTGTAGGTAACCCACAATGTCAAATGAATACTTTTTCAAGTATTATACATTTGAAAGAAGAAATAGCAATTATAGTTATGTTTTTATTTATTTTTAAGCATTTAACTGCTAGATGTTTAAATCTAAAGAAAAGTTTACAAAAAAAATATCCACGCGGACCAGGCAGCGGACGGGACTCGAACTCGCACCCTTCGCAATCCGGGCGAATACACTGACCATTATGCTACCACGGCCCTATTCGTATATATTTATTATTAAAATATAATAATAAAATCTCAATTGAGGAAAAATAATCTCATTTACCACTAAATGGAAAAGTGTGGTAACTCTGAGTTGCGTTTTGTTATTGCTTTATAAAGACATATTTTTTGATTAGAATAATGCATAGTAAAATGTAAATGAATTTACATATTCACTGAATTACCTAAACATGAACAACTATTTTAAATTTTAATAGAAGACATTTATTTAGTTTACGTCACTGAACAACGAACATCACATTTTCACAAAAATACAGACGGTATAACAAAAAATTCACCTACTTTACGCGAGTATTGACGACCTTCTACTATAAAGCGACTTATTTCAGAAGGTTGCCGAAAAGGATTATTTAATGCGCAATGTTTTGACATTTCGTTGTTAGCAGCGTTATTTATAATCGGGTCAGAATGATGTCATGCCGTGTAGCATAATTTTAAATGTGACGTTAAACTATTTCCACATTGGATTTTGTAGGATAGACAGTGTTTCTGTGTTATACTGTTCAGTGCATTTAAATAGAAGAAAATAATGACTTACTACGAGCACAGAATGGCCGGTAAGCTAATCCCTGTTTCTGACACTACAGACAAGACTGTTTGCTAACAATTAAAATATAAATAAATTCGTTAATGTATGCGTTTAATGATTAAACGGGTAATTGATATCCGGTTGTCATGGTTAGCGGTCTCAATAACAGTTTGAAATTAAATTAAATATAAATTCCGCCTTTTAAAATTTAACAATATTATTGCTTATAATCGTATCTTAATTTGCAGCATATATTTAGTTTAAGTTATTAATAAATAGTCAATCGATAGATATATAGGTACATTGCATGTTGACATCGCCTATCTCAAAAATATTAAAAAAATAGGTTGCTGTAAATAATTTTCTTCTAATGATTCAGGAACAGCTGTTTCAATGACGTCACCTTATCATGTAGTTTGTTTTCAGTATATTAATAGGTAATGTAATGCATTCTTATTTAAAAACAAGCTTAGCTTACATTTACAATGAATGGACTTTTTCAAGGCTTATAATAGTCTACAACTGTTTTTTTTATATTATTCCTTATGTTACAGGCGTCAATTTAATATCGTATAGGAAATAAACAGCTTGTATTGTAACCCTACGGGCTCGTAATAAAATTGTATTGCATACATCTCCCATTACGATCTGTCTGAAAGCCGGGTGTTGTTGAGTGCCGAATGCACTACGTATTTCGTAACAAAAAAATGTTTCGTTATAGTTTGTTATTTTGTTTGCGTAGTGTCTGATCCTTGACCTGGTAATGTATGGTACGGTGAGAGCGCTTCTTGAGTTTTGTTTACTGTAGGCGGGCCTGTGCTCTTTACGAGTAAGGCATCTCGCATACTACACGACCACTTACTAGAAAATGGTTGCGGCGACCGAACTTTTCGCGCCATTTTTTGGAATGAGGTTAGCCATATTCGCCAATTGATATTGTCCTCACTGCGATATAATCTTAACATGGGAAGGAAGCGTAATAAGCTACTACGGAGATATATTGTTGAGTACGGCTTTATATGCTTCAAGAAGGAACTTGTGATAGTGCATTTTTATCACTCGTCCGATGCATACACAGTAGTTTCTACACTTGAGAAAGTTACTTAATTGCAGGCTTATCACTGGCTAGGAGTTTTTTTGTAATTGTTTGAGCAACCACTGTTCTAATACTGCGGTCAATGACAGATTTTTGTGTGACGCAGCTGTCCACCCTTGTGTTATGATAAGGAATTGTGTGTTAAATAAGTGCTTACTGGTTTTCATGAACAGAATAGTACTTCACACATTCACGTAGTTTCTTTAGTTAGTTGAGGGATTCCATTTTTATTAACTCATGCGCTCGCTTTCTCCCTTTTCTATCGAAATTTAAAATTGTAATGGCGTACATGTTTTTGACGTTTATTGTGCCGCTCGTGAGACAAGTAGTTCAGACTTATTGTTGCAATTTAACGTAATGAAAATACGAGGTAAATTTTTTTTTCTGTGGAATAGACAATCAGAGAAAACGAGCGTTCGACTTCATAGCATAAAATTAAATCCTTGTCATCAAAATCTGCGGTGGCGTGGTCGTACAGTATGTGCGGGGCCTAAGGTTATTTTTACCGTAATAAACTATCAGGTATTCTGGGGTATTGTGATTAATTGACGATCTATGTGACTTAGAGACGGGTGCGCCGGAGACGACGTCACCATTTCGGAATTCCCGGCGATTCCCTGTCTGTCATACCAAAAAAAATATTGCACTTTAGCACTCAAAAAAAAAATACAAAACACGAAAATGTGAGACATGTGCTAATAACGGTTGCAGATACAGCGGGAATCAATGCTAAACATACCTTCTGAAGTAGAAGATTTTTTTAAGAACATCTTTGGTCACCCTTTCAATATTGCGAAAGTTGCATCACTTACTCAATATCCATTGGAGGAGTGTTTGATCGAGATGATTAAGTAACGGAAATAAATACTGAACCATTAACTGAGTTTTATTTAAAGTAAAAAAAAACATTATTAAGTATACATCAAACATTGGATTAACTTCCAACTCTGTTAAGCATAATTCTTATGTCATCATCACCTCATGATGACGTAATTATCCACAAATGCACGGTCAATGGTCTCATGAATTGTGTGTTTATTAACCACATATCGACTATAATATGTGGGTAATAAACATGTTAACAAATCCAATGTTTATTTATACTATAAAAGCGTAACAATGAAATTTGAACAAATTTTTTTTAAAGAAATTAGTGACATGTCAGTATTTTTTCCGAAAAACAATTTAAGCGTTGATAATACTTATTCTAAATGAGATACAGTAAGTCTGCGGTTATTGGGCGAGTCATAGTAAAAATAATAATAGAATAGGTAGTTAAATTTCTTTTCAGAGATATAGTCCATATAATCTTAAAATAATTGTACCCCACGTTTCACAGATTTATATTTGATATTTAGAATGTTATGAAATCTCAACAGATAACGTCCTCCAAAAAAATATCTATAAATCAAATTATTGACATGACATTTTAGGTAAAGGCCGCGTGAATAGATTTAAAGTCCAAATCGTTATGTGTAAATTAAATTTTTTTACTTGTTAAGTATAAATAGCCTTCTTTGTGCGTTCTCTGACCCGCTTTCGAAGAATCCTTAATTGGAACTGTACAGAAATGGTAGTAACTAGAGGATCGTATAAAGCCACTGTACATACATTATTAAGAACTAGTATTAAGTTGTTCTTAAACAGTACTATTATTAGGGTCAGTTTATAAAAATAAATGTTAAATAATATGAACGTTCAGTGGCAAGCATAACAAAATTGACCTAAATAATTTTTAAATTATTTATATCCGTTATACGGCACGTTCGCCTGGTTTTGAAATGATTGCAGTAATTCCCGTGAAGTTAGTGAAATGGTGTGCAGCTGAAAAGAGGTATATTGCAGGCAGTTATAGCTTTCCACTCGAATCCAAGCACCTGTCTGAAGAAGTTACTAAGAATAGAGAGTTTTTTTTCTAGTAAACTTTTCTTTAGATTTAAACATCTAGCAGTTAAATGCTTAAAATAAATAAAAACATAAGTTACTAAGAACCTTACAAAAGATTCGAAGTAAAAGAACATAACTAATTAATAAGTTTGCCTATCATTGAACAGATGGGATTGAACAATAGAAACATCTATACTTATAATAAAATGGTAGGAAAGTCAAAACTGTACATTGAATTTTTTTTTAAATAATACTTGGGGTGTGATCTGCAATCGATACCGAAGCCAAACATATAGTTTTTAGAATTTTTGTCTGTTTGTCTGTATGTATGTCCGGGATTAACTCAAAAAGTACTGCATGGATTTACTTCAAATTTGGCACGAATATTATTAAGAAGTCGGGTTAACATATAGGCTCATATTATCACGCTATCACCTACGGGGAACGAGCAGTGAACCTTTATTTCTAACTAACTCCACGCGTACGAAAGCGCGGGCGGCCGCTAGTTACAAATATAATTGCTAAATATTATTTTGTTATATACGTTTTCAGCTTCATATCACTAGCGAATTATTATCTCCCAACGTTTGTTTACATTGAATAATTGCTCAATTAAACTTAAAACAAAACATTGATGATGGCCTACTTAGTTAAGCTGATAAGAAAGAAAGCAGACAAAATTACATTGGGGCTAAACCCACGTAATAGAACTGTCGTAGACTGCATGATATAAATTATAGTTTTAAGAATATTCGAGCGCTGCGCCGTAGAACATAATCTATCTATGTATATATAAAACTCAAAGGTGACTGACAGACTGACATAGTGATCTATCAACGCACAGCCCAAACCACTGGATAGATTGGGCTGAAATTTGGCATGCAGGTAGATGTTATGACGTAGGCATCCATTAACAAAGGATTTTGATCAATTCTACCCCCAAGGGGATAAAATAGGGAATGAAAGTTTGTATGAAACTTTGTTAATTTTAAACCGATCGGGCTGAGACTTTGCATGCAGGTATAAGAAGAATCATAGATGAATGTCATTGTGTATAATACAAGCCTGAGCACAAAAACTGTAGTCTACACTTCAGCTCTACACCGAAGCGAAGCCAGGGCGGGCCGCTAGTATATTGATATAGGTGCACTCTATCATACTAAAGCATCATAACAACATAAGTCACTACTTCAAGGACGGAAATAATTAAAAGCATAGTTTGATTAAAATGTTTTCGGAAACAACAGTGAATAATAATGGTTGGCATATTTTTATAAAAGAAATATATTAGAAACTTAACGTTTCCAAATAGTGTAATTGAGGTACTTCCTTAGTTTAAGCTAGTCGCACTTAATAAACAAGAGTAGGGCATTAAACGGCGTTTGCTTGGTTGACCTGAAATATAATTGTTTGCGTGTGATGGCAAAGAATGATCGTCTGGGTGATCCTGCGTAACTTATGGGATGTATTAATGGCTAATCATTCTTTAATAAATAATATAATATGGGGTTTCTCGCAGGTTAGCTAACACATAATACCTGATGAAAATCTTTAAACAGGGTTAAAATTCGCACTCTCATAATAATAGTGACATAAGTCAAAAAAACTGTTTTTCTTAAGAATGGTTGAGCATGTATGCTTTTTAAGGTCAATTTGTAGCAAAGTCAAAAAATAATGAAAATTTAGATCACTTAACACATTTACAATCTACAGACATTACACCTGCCTGCCTAGCCAACGCTCATTTTCCCTCTTCTAAAGCAATCGGTAGCACCGGCCAGGCTTGTGTAAGTTAGGGCCCGTTCTTCTTATTGTGTAATTATACCCTTAAGAAAAGACTGTCTGAGGCCCAGTAGTGGGTATACTAATAAGCTGATAATGGGCTTGATTCTTGCACTTAAAAGTTTAACTTAAGAACACTCTCCTTTTCATTCAGTATAGAAAATGACAAGGATTCACTGTTATTCAATTTTATTGATGTGAAACATCTATAGGCGCACGTAAAACCGATTTCTAGCGTGGCGACTCATGCTGTTGAGACGCGTCGCCCTTCGCAATCATAATCGTTTTTTGTATTTAATGAAAATAAATATTTATTAAATAAACAGTCCTCATTTTCTGGTAAAAAATCGTAATATTTTATTTTATCATTATGCCATATTTAGTTCCTGTCGCCATCTGTTCTTTTCTTATATTACTTTTTTACATTGTATTTAGGTTTAGTTAATCGCCGAAATCGGGCCCAATAATATACAAGTAAAAGATCATCATCATCATCAGCCCATTAATATCCCCACTGCAGTGGCACAAGTCTCCCCTATTTATGGAGTAGGGAGATTAGACCAGGAACCACCACATTGTCCCAGTGCGGATTAGTGGGAACTACCGACTGCAGATACAGCCGGCACCAAAGGCTTAATGTGCCCTCTGAATTACGGAGGAGATCGTGATAGTTTTTATTTTATTTTAAATATATAGATGGTTGTCATGATCTTTTCAGGTGCAGTCCCCCCACCCGCATTAACGGACAAGCTGCGGTTATACCACGTGGACATGAACCCGTACGGTCACAGGGTGATGCTGATCTTGGAGGCCAAGAAGGTGAAATACGAGGTGTACCGGCTGGACCCGCTGCGATTACCTGAGTGGTTCAAAGCGAAGAACCCAAGATGTAAGACAATCAAAGATTCCCCAAGGAAGGCTCTATTCTGGCACGAATTCTAGGTTTAGATTTAATAATTTTGTACTCTTGTCATGTTCTGTCGTGGATCAGAGTCAAGAACCTAGTATGGTTCCATAGGTATGACGACCTCCGTGGCCGAGTGGTTTGTACGCCGGATTTCATGGCGTCGCCGACTCGAGAGGTCTCGGTTTCGAATCCCGGTAGGGGCAGATGTTTGTGTGATAAACACGAGCATTTGTACTCCAGTAATGGATCTTTAATATGTATTTCTATATAAATATACTTATATGTATATGTAAAGTGTATGTATTCTATCCGTTACCCTAGTATCCCATAACACAAGCCTTATAGTGCTTACTTTGGGGCTAGGCAAATTGGTGCGAGTGTTAGAAATATTTCGATATTTATTTATTTATAGATCCCCACACCTTCGCCGCCATGAAGTTCTGGAAAATTTTCTCCAATACTCCAGTTATTTGGTTAGCTGCTTTCCGATTTCAATCCACTTACATGCAAGATTTCTAATAAGTTTTTAATATTTCTTCCAGTGAAGATACCAGTCCTCGAGATCCCAACGGAGTACGGTGACAGGTACTTGTTCGAGAGCGTGGTGATATGCGACTACCTCGACGAGAAGTACCCGCGGAACCCGCTCCACTCCCGGGACCCCTTCGTGAAGGCACAGGACAGGCTGCTTATAGAGAGATTCAATGAGGTTAGTGTCTAAGGTATCATCAGCTGCTGGACGTCTTTTTTCATCAAAAAAAATCTCGAATTTGTAAAATTACATTTTCAATCTTAAAATTTCTTCATATTTATAAATGAAAACTTGTTATTGGCTTGATTGTTAAATTATTAAACTAAATTTTGTATGAATAGCTGTTACTTTTCCCATTCAAATAAATAAATAAAAAAAAACCTCTCGTATGATATAGATGTGGCGTTCAAAGACTAAGTTTAAAAGAATTATAATTATTTCTTTCAGTTGATAAAAGGAAGTCTAGAATGTTTCGACACAAACTTCGTGTTTGGAAGCGAACAGATCATACAAACACTAGATATTTTCGAGAAGGAACTGGCTACGAGAGGTAAGAAGACATCTTTGATTAATGCAACCAATCATTGTAGTTAATCTTCCATTCTATTCACCTTCATATAGTTTGAGTTGGCTGTTGATAATTTCAAGATCCCGATATAAAGAAATATCGATAGTGACTAGGGAATTAAGTATCAAATATCAAGCGACGACCTCCGTGGCCGAGTGGTTTGTACGCCGAGTTTCAAGGTGTCGCCTACTCGAGAGGTCTCGGGTTCGAATCCCGGTGGAGGAAAAATTTGTGTGATGAATACAAGCATTTGTACTCCAGTCATGGGATGTTTAACATGTATTTCTATATAAATATGCACATATATGTATCAGTATAATATGTATTCTATCCGTTACCTAATTACACAAGTCTTACAGTGCTTACTTTGGAGCTATGCTAATTTTGGTGTAAAATAAAAAAAAAACTGCAGATGTTATAAATTTGTATAAACATTTGAGCAACCTTGTTCGCTCAAAACATAGAATTTAAAATTAAAAGCCAACCTGGGAGGTTGGATAAGAAATGTATTTGAGTACTTTTTTTTATTGCAAAATAATTGATCCCCAGCCACTGATATTGAAACCTAGTTTCCAAGGCACAGTTCACGACCGATACATACTAAGTATGAGATAAGAGAAAGAAAGAAAGAAACTGTGCGCGCGCACTGCTTTCCCTTGCTTATATCCCCCACTCAACTGCCGTTTGCCTCGCCCGATCACACTTTTCGTAACGCATTCGCCAGCTTACTCCCCAAGTCAAACGTGCGCAAAGCATTTACACTTCAATGAACATTTATATGTCTCGATAACATTGAAGGTACCAATTATTTCGGCGGCAATCGCCCTGGAATGCTGGACTACATGATCTGGCCGTGGGTGGAGCGGCTGTACCTACTGCGGTGCCTCAACGAGAAGAAGTTCGATGGCAAACGCTCGTTGTTCCCTAACTTTGTGAGTAAATAACTAAATCATTTAGTACGATTAAAAAAAGGAAATTTTTTAGGTACTTGAAAAGACTCGGTCTAGGTGTTGCTAGATTCGATTAAACCGAGGCCTTAATCATCATCATTAGCCTATTAATGTTGCAACTGCTGGGGCACAGGCCTTTCCTATGGATGGAATAGGGAGATTTATGACATTTATGTAAAGATTTTCTTAAAGTCATTTTTTTTAAATTTCAGGCTGATTGGGGTGACCAAATGCAGTTAGACGATGTAGTGAAAAAGCAATCACACTCGCCACAGCAATACTTCGAATACTACAAGAATGCGCGGGCGCACTCGATGGGCTATTATCTATAACGAGATTATAGTTATTTTAAAATTTTATGATACAAGAAAATAGGAAATGTTCATTGATACAAATAGACTTACTAGCTCGAACTTTATAGGCGGTTTTCTTTGCATATTGTGTCAGTCATACTCAAAAAGAGTACCTACCCATTTTATATTCAAAACGGTACACTTTGAAAATGTAGAATAAATGTAGTGCACGTTAAAAAATTATTACGATACACTGTTAGTTTCAAATTTTAAAACACTGAACATTGCCTTGTGTGTAACTTTTTGGGAAGCAACTGGCCTAATTTTATATTTTAGGGGTCAGGGTCCCATCCGATTTGCATTCTGGTATTTATCCAATAAAGATTTATTATTATTATTACATATGCAACGTGGAAATTTGGTGATTAGAAAAAAAATATTATAAGAGATATCTTGGTAGCTAAAGTTCGAGTGTACTATCACTGGAACTGATTTTAAAAATTCTTTCACAACAACACAACTACAAAGCTGCGATAATGAATTTCACCCGTACAAAAGCCAGGGTGGGTTAGGCTAGCTTTTTTCAGGACTGGATTATGAACATAATTTTATGTCAAACTGCCTCAAAAACTCAAGTGGTGTCGATTCTGGCACGATTCTCTAAATCTAAACTTAAATTTGACAACAGTGTTTCCTTGTCATTCTCTATACAGAATGAAAAAGAGAGACTGATGTTAAATTTACTTTTAAGTTTAGAGAATCACGCCAGAATCGACACCAGTGTCGTTTTATTTCAGAACCGAAAGTCTTGATCTTCACAGAATTAGAATCTGAAATGTTGATCATTACAAACTGTTAAGTAGATCGGATTAATAGTAAATGACGCAACGGGGACCAACAAAAGCGGAACATACGTATACTTTAACGCAGCGCTGAACGACGTCTTTTTATTGGCCTATTTTTTCCACAGTGTTAAAGAGTGTACTAGTTATGACAAAAACAGAAATTACGAAATTTTTTGAGTTAGGTCTTTTTCTTTTTAAGGGTGCGAAGTGTTTATATTCATCAACAAACTTTTGTCTTCACCGGAATGCCCCCACTGTAATGTCAAAATCAGAAATCACGAAATTTTGAGTTAGGTCACTTTCATTCTTAGGGTGCGAAGTTCTCATATTCGTCAACAATTTTTTTAATTCACCGGAATGACCCTACTAAAAAAATATGACAAAATCAGAAATCACGAAATTTTCGAGTTATGGCACTTTCATTCTAAGGGTGCAAAGTGCTCATATTTATCAACAAACTATTGTCTCCATCGGAATGCACCCATTATAGATGAAATACAGAAAACATATTGCTTACTCTTAATTTTCTTTTATTTCTATTTCTTATAATTCCTGCGATGTTTTTTTAAGTGGGAAAACAACATTGCATTTATAACGTATTGTGTCTGATTTGTTGTACGGAAATATTTTCGATAAAGTGAAGTGTATCATATAAATAGTTCGGGAAACATATGAGTTGGCGTTTTTTTTATTCTAATCAAAAACCTGATTTGACTTCAGTACCCCTAGCACGAAACAATATCGAATTTGTATCGTTTGCGAGTCCGAAATGTCATTGTCAAATGTGTACTGATTTTTAGTTCTCGTTACGCGTACTTTGTGCAGCTGCTGTTCAAGTTTCCATACACATTTGACAATGACATTTCGGACTCGCAAACCATACGAATTCGATATTGGTTCCTGCTAGGGGTACAGTGGAATTTGTTATGCATTAGCTAGGCTTTGAAGATCTGAGTAGTCATTTAATAATTTGTTCCATGCAATGACTATTGTAAATTTATTGGTACCATTTATTGAATTGCATTTCTTCACTCAAGTTTATTTTGAGAGTTTCCCTAATATTTCGTTAAACCTAGTTAAATCTTTCGATGTCAAACAATCGAAATTATTTTATTATTATTTTTAATGGCTTTGTTATGTACTTGTTATTGTAAAACGCAAAAAACACTTTCGGATATGTACCTGTTCAGCCTGTTTTTGAATATCTGTGTGTTTACCTACATTAAAATGTACTTAAAACTATTTTGTTAAATAATATTTATTTTTTTTGTTATCAACTTTTCTTAGGATTATTTAAAAAGTTTTCTATTTAAAAACGAATCAATATTTTATGAATGGTTGTTTATATTGTAACGAAGAACGCATAAAAGTGTATCTAAAACTAATTCTTTGACATATCCATTTATGAAATAGGTTTAAGAATTTTATTTTCGGACATTTTTGTAAAAATATTACAAAGATGGGTTTTTTATGATATCAGTACCCCTAGCACGAACCAATATCTAATTCGTATCGTTTGCGGGTACGAAATGTCATTGTCAAATTCTGTATAAAAACTACAACCATAACGTAGGTACGTAACGAGAACTAAAAATATTGCAAAATATCGAATTCGTAACGTTTGCGAGTTCGAAATGTCACTGTCAAATATGTACTGATTTTTAGTTCTCGTTACGTACTTTGTGGTGCTGCTGTTCAAGTTTCCAGGCAAATTTGACATTGACATTTCGCACTCGCAAACTATTCGAATTCGATATGGGTTCGTGCTAGGGGTACAGCTAAGTGTTTGTAGATAAGTTAGTATATCTGCTTTGTAATTAAGTACCTACACATTTAGTCGTATTTTTAAGTTTTAAATAAACCGAATAAAAGTCACATGAAAAATAATGAAAAATAAGTGTCTTATTTTTTCCCTTTTAACTCCCAACTGAAAAAGAGGGTGTTGTTCATATACCTTTCATTGTCAACCAATTATTTAAGATGGTCTTTAGTAATTTGTATCGACACCATAGATCGACATATCATCATTCACGACCTCCGTGGCCGATTAGTATATACGCCGGGTTTCAACGTGTCGCCTACTCGAGAGGTCCCAGTTTCGAATTCCGGTGAGGGCAAATGTTATTATATAACATAATACTAACATTTCTACTTTAGTCATGGGTTAATAAATATAATTCTGTACATATCACATATATGTATTCTATACGTAACCCATACCCTAGCATCCCAAAGCACAAGCCTTAAGGGCCCCATATACGGAACGATTCGTCGTTGCGATCGTACTGAAGAAAATCGTCAACGATCGATCGTTCAGAAATGCCACTACATACACGAAACACTGTCGATCGATCGTTTACGATATTCATGATTGCATGGGATTTTGTTGCGATCTCCGATATCGTCTGCGATTAAGTAAATCGTTAACGATCTTGACATACACTGTCAATCCATCGTTTCGATTGGTCTGAAACGACGGATCGTACAGATCAATCGTACCGTATATGGGATACTGACGATCGATCGTTTACGACATTCATGATTGCATGGGTTTTTGTTGCGATCTCCGATATCGTCTGCGATTAAGTAAATCGTTAACGATCTTGACATACACTGTCGATCCATCGTTTCGATTGGTCTGAAACGACGGATCGTACAGATCAATCGTTCCGTATATGGGCCCCTTAACAGTGCTTACTATGGGGCTAGGCTAATTGGTGTGAGTGCAAGAAATATTTGTTCATTATTATTAAATTTATTCACGTGTCGCGACATGATCGCTACGCGAATACTACATATGTACGTTGGATTTTAAGGTTAGCTACCCAGAAGTCCCAGGTTGGAATCCCGGAAGGACAAAATAAAATGTTTGCATTTGTACATAGTAAATGTTTAAATTTCGGTATTTCTAGATATACCTACTTTCAAATACTTAAATCACTAATCAATTATAATCTATCCGTTACCCTAGTAATGGACCAATATAGTTTGTCCAATCCCTAGTATACCTTAATGAAACAAGCCTTACTTTGGGGCAGTGGTGTCGATTCTGGCAGGGTTCTTTAAACCTAAACTTAAATTTGACAACAGTGTATCCTTGTCATTCTCTATACAGAGGGAAAAGGAGAGGCTGATGTTAAATTTAGCTTTAAGTTTAGAGAATCATGCTGGAATCGACACCAGTGGCGGACTAAGATCGTCAGAGGCCCGGGGCGGCAAAGATGAATGAGGCCCCCAGCTTTAAAAAAAATGTAGATTCTTATGTTAATTTCGTTAAAACCAGTCTTGTCAAATTCACCATATCTTTGTATCAGATTGTCATCTGCTACAGCCAGAGCGACATCTGAAGCTTCTAGCATAGACTTTGTTTCAATAATTTGGAAAATGTTTTTGATTTGTTTAATAGCCCAATTCGAAAATTCTTATATAAAGCGATCTATGCATTCATACATTGACCGACGTATCTCTTCTTGAATTGATAATCCAGCATCATGAGCTGATTCACCCGGCATCGTTCTTTTTAACTTCACTTTTCCTGGTTTCTGGATGTTGATGAACCACCTAAATACTTATTCAAGGAGTCTTGTTTAGGATTTGATCAGGGTAACGTGGAGGCATTTGGGGGCGCCCCAAGATCGGAGGCCCGGGGCGGGCCGCCCCTTCCCCCCTGTTAGTCCGCCACTGCTTTGGGGTTAGAAATATTTATTTATTTATCTAGTTACCCAAAAAAACATTTTTTTACTCTTAAAATTTCTATAGTATCTTCAGCAGCAAAATCAAAACGTAAAATAGAACGTTCAGAAATAACTTTGGTAAAGTTGTATGTATCTGCGCTACGTGGTCTGACGTCCAATATTTACAATGTCAGTTTCTGAACGACTAATAATTCTGTCAAAATCTTTGTGCTGTATTGCGAATTTCGCAAAACTCGAAAACTAAATATTTGCTTCACTATACGAGTTTTATTTACAAAAATGCCTCTAATACGTTCAGCTAGTTTTAATTTATTTATTGAAATCGTCGTTCGCATCGTTTTAGTGGTCGTTTTTTGGTAAGTTCTATCCATATGTTTACGAATGACTACTTTCGTTTAAATACAGATTTCATCAATGAAATTTGTGTTAAGAGTATTTATTTTATAGCACGTTTAATTATAGAAAACCCAAAAATAAATAAGTAAGGTCATGAAATGTACTTAACTTGTTATCTGCTCCTGGAGATTGATTATGAATCATACACGAAACATTATTAAAGTTTGCTCAACTTATCATTTTACGATGCAATGATGCAATTAAATTATTAAATAAAGATAAGATCCGCTGAATATATAATTCCACGTGTTATATATACAAATAGCCTTACCACGTCATTTATTCTTTTAAGTTATACATTTGCGAAAGGAGTTGTTGTTAAAATTTTATTTATTATTTTTTTTAGGCAGAATGTTGCAATCTCCTTGATATCCCTGCCGCTTATTAGTGGTTAGGGCATTTGGGGGTCATTCATAAAGTATGTCACACTAATTATGTGTTACATATGTTGCAATTTTAAATCTAGAAATTATATAATTAAAATAGCAGTTCTAAAATAAGTTATATACTATATATACTTTGTTTTTACGAGTCTCTGATATTTTTATCCGTGATCATGGCACTTGCAACAGTGCTGAAATTTCAGAGACTTATAAAAAACCAGGTACATAATAACAATCCTGTTAATAGCTGTAACAAATCCCAATTATTCTGTAAAATTCTAATTAAACCTTATTGATTACTTACTGATTATGACATGATTCTTCATAATCTCTTATCTATTAGACAAGTCCGTCCGTCCGTCTGCCCGTGGTGCTGTTTCAGCGGCCAAACCGTAAGAGATAGATAAAGAGAATGTTTAAGTTATAAGTTAAGAATAGTCTGATAAGACTACAAACCGGATTTGAGTAACGTAGCACTTCCGGTTTTTGAGAAATCACGTGATTTCTATTTCAAACGAAACCACACAAAATCTTCGAAGTTCTCAATTAATTAAGTACTTTTTTTTTTTTTTTTGGTTCACTGGTTTGCTAGTTATTGTTAACATACTTTATACTAGTGTTGTATTAAAACAACTCAGAGAAAAAATATTACAAAAGACGTAGGCACTTGAATTTATTTTAATTCATGTTGTATTGTTTCTTTATCGACGTAGTGTGTCTGTCAAAACATTTAAATAATAATAATATTTTTTCCATGTTATTTGATAGATTTTAAGCCTCATGCAAAAAAATCACAATCAGACACCACAAAATGTTTCCGGAGTATCTGGGTTATCTCAGACCCAGAGAAAGTTAAACTTTTATTACTTGACCAAAAATTAAGCATGTTGCATTAAATTGTAATTTGTAAAAAAACACACCTTATTAACAATTAAATCTGTGGCTCAATGGTAAAAAGCTTGCCTACTACGGGAGAAGCCTGTAATTATCCCAATACTTTCAGTTAAAGGCCTATGATTCAGAAAAAAAATTGAGGCAATGTAAAACACTGGCTCTTCGTGACGGGAGACGAGAAATCGAACAGCCAGTGTGTCTCTTGACAACTACGAGCATTAAATCTAAAGAAAATGTAACTAGAAAAAATTCCACAGGGATTAGGCAGCAGACGGGCCAGCCTTCCGAAGCACGGTGGAGTTTGAGGTCATAAGTTTTTGGTCACCCATCCAATGACCGACCATTGTGAAATTTGCTTAACCTTCAAGATCACAGGCAGAACGCTCTAGCCACCTGCGCCATAGAGCTTCTAATCTTAATTGGTGATTGTCTGTGCATTTATAACAAATTCTAATCGTAAAACTAGGAATCCTTGCAACACTAGTTGAGTCCATGGGTCAAAACAAGTTAAACCTTATAGCATACACAATACTGAGTTAGAAATATTTTTTATGTTTTACGTTGTTAGTTCAAAATGGAGGATCCATATCGATTTTAGTTGAGAATGCATATTTATAGAGCTAAGGATTCCTTAAAATACAGTAAAAAATTTTTGCTCTACGACAAATATTGACGAAATTGTGACCAAATTACTAAAGAATTTACTAAAGTACTAAAGAGCTCTGTGACGTCACACGTTTTGGCCGCCGGTGAAAACAGGCTACCTTAAAATTAGTTATAAAATCGCAACGAATTCACCGATTTCGATGATTTAAAATGTATATTAATTAAAAAGCTTATTAGAACAGTATACTGTTGATTTGCTGACCTATCAATGATCCTCATTAGCATTTTAACACTTAACTGTTCTAGATGTTGAAATGTGACAACACGTAACTTATGACCTAACTGACTTAATTTATTTGTTTACAAGTCAGGCTAAACTGTACTTTCGGGGCCCATGAGTTGTACTCCTCACTAGGTTAGGTAAGTGTTGCGACTAACGCGCGAGCCGAGCGAGCGAATCGAACGAGCAAGCCTCGGCAGCGGTCTTCAGAGCGCCAGAAAAAAAAACTTCGTTAGGAGCCCTTTCACATTTTTTGCAAAAAATCGTAATTTTTGAGCGCCTTGTTTACCCCCTTAGAAATGATTTTGACTATTTCCAATAGAAGTAAACAGTAGATTTATTCTTCCTATTGTAAGTTAATGTAGAATATTTGCAAATACTATTTTCCTTTTTTTGTACTGATCGTTCTACTGCAGCTAGTTTACGGGAAAAATGATAATATGCACAACTTCAAACGCTCTCTATAATGTATATCTCTATAATATATATCTCTCAATAATATTCAATAAATTAGATCAAATTAATTACTACAACATCGGAAATATGTTTTTGTTGTAACATTTTAATTATTAAAATACATTATGTATTAGAATTTTGATTTTCCATCTCATAAATTATCAAAAAAAAATCATCTAACCTCCGTGAGTTTTTCCAAAAAGTAATGCAGGTTTACTTCGTATTTTGATATTGAATTAAATAGAATTACTATCAAAAAACTTTCATAAAACTAATCTACCATCATTGAACTACTGAAATATGTATATATTTTTACAATTAGTTCATTAATAATTATTTTATAAGACACGATTGTATCTGATCACCCGTAAAATGCAATATATACTAGTGCAAATCTACCTACGCGCCGATTAATACGGCGCAATTTTGTAAAAGGGCTCTTATTAGAGTCTTTTTCAACAAAAAATAATGAAGTGTCATCTCTTGGGCCCGGAAAGTACAGTTTTACCACACGTTGTTCTATTTGTGCCTCTATCATTTGATTTTAATATTTCAGCTACATGGAGACAATGCCTCCTTTCGTCAGAGTGATCCATAGACCGGAGCTGGAATCTGAGTACAAATACCCACGACGGGAGTCGTACGTGCCAGGTGGAGCGATGTGGGCCATAGTGTTGTCGGTCCCTTGCGCCTTGTCGCTGCTCGCTTGGGCCGCTTGCAACGACTGCAACGACGCTTTCGAGGTTGAGTAGTTGAACTATTGATATTGAAGTTGTGTAGATGAACTATTGAAGTGAAGTAGTTGAACTATTGGGGTTGTGTAGATGATCTATTGGAATCTTGATGAACTATTTGGTTCCTTGCGCCTTGTCGCTGCTCGCTTGGGCCGCTTGCAACGACTGCAACGACGCTTTCGAGGTTGAGTAGTTGAACTATTGATATTGAAGTTGTGTAGATGAACTATTGAAGTGAAGTAGTTGAACTATTGAGGTTGTGTAGATGAACTATTGGAATCTTGATGAACTATTTGGTTTCCATGCGCCTTGCCGCTGCTCGCTTGGGCCGCTTGCTACGACTGCAACGACGCTTTCGAGGTTGAGTAGTTGAACTATTGATATTGAAGTTGTGTAGATGAACTATTGAAGTGAAGTAGTTGAACTATTGAGGTTGTGTAGATGAACTATTGGAATCTTGATGAATTATTTTGAAGCACATGAACTATTGAGGTGATGAGGTTGAAATGAATATTTGCTATGTGCATGTCTTCCTGGAGTGCCTTCCAAAAAATGTGCAATTAGCATCAGCCAGAATATTGTCATGTATTATTATTACTAGTAGTAATATAGTAGTAATTTACTACTATGTTTTAAATTTATACTTTCTTCATATAGCATGCAGACAGACTTCATATAAAAGTGAACATAATAAAAATGTTAAACTGTAGCGCAACCATTAACGCGGACCAGGCACCAGACGGGATTCGAACCCGCACCCTTCGCTATCCGGACGAATGCGCTGACTTTTATGCTACCGCGGCCCTAATAATAAATAGCATAATGGTCACTGCATCTGCTCGGATAGCGGAGGGTGCGGGTTCGAGTCCTGTGTGCTGCCTGGCCCGCGTGGATATTTTCTAGTAAAATTTTCTTTAAATTTAAACATTAACACAACTGTATTTTTGTTTTGGTATTTATGCCTATATCTGGTTGTATGCTTTCTTTCGTAGTCACACGTTATTATCAATAATAACTAATTATCCAATGCAGCTTGAACTATTTGGTTGAGTGGATGAACTATTGAGGTGGAGTAGTTGAACTATTAGGGCTGAGTAGATGATCTATGAGTGATTATTATAAAACCAAGCTAACTATTGGAATACTAGGTGTAGGAAGGCCAAAGGGGAAGATCTTCCTCCGAGCTGGGTGATGGTAGCTCGGGGGCCGCGGCCCGACTGATGTTGGTCGGGCATCGTATATATGAAGAGTTAGCCTCCGAATTTCATTTGCGCGATGTAGGCTTCCATACGCCGGTAGACGCCATCTCTTGAGGATGGTGAGTAATGATTTCCTACATCCGTCGTATATCTGTGGGGCATATAGATGTCGCCGCCACACTAGGTATGTTATGTAATATTTGTACTCAATTATTTTTTTTTTCATTTCAGATATTACTAACATGGTCATTGGCGTTAGGAATAAATGGCGTATTGACAGACATGGTCAAATTAATAGCAGGTAATTATTTACCATTGCTGAATACAACTGTCCGGAATATTGCAGAAGAATCATGTTTATAATTCTATACTGAATATTTTCATGTTTTGTGTTACACCAAAAAAATTACACCTCGTCGAATCACACAACATACGATATATGTATGAAGGTCTTTTCATTAACAAGAAACTTTTTATCTACTTCTATACATATACAGGGTACATTTTAAAACACCATCAACCTCTTTGAGGGTAATTCTACCCATCAACAGGAGCAACTTTTATAATGTAATGGAAGGTGACTTCAGAAGTATCCCTGAAGTCATTTTTCAACGTGACGACTCTGTATATAACAATACAGGGAGAAAATACCAGCCCTTGCTGAGTTTCTTGCCGGTTCTTCTCAGTACAAGGTCTCCCGCCGTAGTTTTGCGAACTGATGGTGTAGCTTCTTGACATTCACAAAATTTCCTAGCCTTAAGCTGCAAGGCAGCGCCATCTCTTCGCGTTGTAGGTAACCCACAATGTCAAATGAATACTTTTTTAAGTATTAAACATTTGAAAGAAGATTTTTTTTTTCTAGTAAACTTTTCTTTAGATTTAGACATCTAGCAGTTAAATGCTTAAAAAAATTAATAATATCATAAAGGTTTGATGTTTAAATGTAAATCAATCATAATCAAAATGAAAATCATATATTCAGTTTCGGCTGTTACAAGCACTCATGAATATCTAGAAGCTACGCCATCGGTTCGTAAATCTACGGCGGGAGACCTTGTACTGAGAAGAACCGGCAACAAACTCAGCAAGGGCTGTTTTTTCTCCCTGATTTATTATTTACAGAGTCGTCAAGTTGAAAAGTGACTTCAGAGATGATTCATGAAGTCACCTTTCATTACATGTAAAATATACATTAATTGTTCACCAGCATTTTGATTGCTGTGTCATACAGTATAAATACATAAAAATAAAGAAAATTTTACTAGAAAAAAATACAATGCGAAGAGATTGCGCTGCCTTGTAGCCTAAGAAATGCTGGGGAAAATTTGACACGGCCGTCAGGGTCGCGGTAGCATAATGGTCAGTGCATTCGCCCGGATAGCGAAGATGCGGGTTCGAGTCCCGTCTGCTGCTTGGTCCGCGTGCAATTTTTTTCTAGTTTTTTTTTTTTTTTTTTTTATAAGGTCGTCCTCGCCCGGATTTCTTCTACCGATGCTTCCCCGACGGAGTGGAGACGGAGGACTTGCAGTGCAACGGTGACCCTTTAGACATCATGGAGGGGAGAAAATCCTTCCCCAGCGGACATAGTAGCTGTGAGTGATATAACATAGTATATCTTTAAAATCGCTCCAGTCCTGTCAAAGCACCAAATAATCTGTCTTCCCGTAGGCCTGGCCGTTGGCTCAACAAAAATAAAATACAGTAAAAAAACGAAAAACGTGGGTGAAAGAATATTAATATTATTAATGATTTTTTTATTATTTTTGTTTCAAAGATACGGCATATGTTTATTCAATTCGATTATGTTACTCATAACTTCTTTTTCTTTTATCGCCGACATCGCACACTCGCGTAATTCGTAATCGTAGACACAACACGTCCTCACGCAGTGACACCTGCGGTGCGACTGAAGCATAGGCTTGTTGAAAATATATCTATGTATCGATATATCGATATTTTTTGTTCGATATTACGATATTTTTTGCCGATATATTTTGATTCGATATATCGATACAAAATAACCAATATTGAAATTCGTATCAAAAACGATATTTTTTTAATTATTAGCGGCATATCACGATCTAACTAAATTCGTATCTGGAAAAATCGTAACTGGATCTCAAATTAATGATATTCAACATAAATATGATCTGTGCTGTATTTAGTATTGTCTATTATTTGTAAATCTGTTTCGTTGGTGAATTGGTTGTACTGATTTCCATTTTATTCTGTGAAGTGTGTGACTGTCTAGTCTTGTTTACGAAAGAGACCCTGCAATCATTTACCTGAGAGGCCCTGCAATCATTTTCATCATTCGAAAATAGGGTCTATTTTTAGGGAGATAATTTTCGTTCCATTATTATTTCGCGTGTCATATTTCGTGAGATACTGTACGATATTTTTGGGAAAATTGGTTCGATATATCGATGTTTTTTTCGCGATATATCGAAGCCGATATTGATATTTTTTAAAAGATGGATGTATTTTATTTATTTATTCTTTATTACCAAAAACAGTAAATGGCAGACTTAATGCCATAGGCATTCTCTACCGGTCAACCAGTATGGGTGTATGAGACGGATGTTTTGGCGATAGAGTGCGAGCTACTAAAGTTAGAGAAAAATAATAATAATAATATTATCCTACAGAACTATACTATACTATAAACGATAAATATATATTATATATAAATAAAATATCCCTATATATATAAATACAAATACACACATATATATAAATTAATAAACATAATATATAAATATATACATACACTTAATTAGTTAGAAATAACTATATCAGATGGTATAGATGACTGCAGACCAGAGAAATATTAGACGGTCAGATAGTGTGCATGCACAACTTACGAGCACTGCGAATATTCAATGGCAAAGCATTCGAAAGACGTATAGTTGTAATGGTGAAAGATTTGGAAACGAATATCAATAATGTATCGATATATCGATATTTTTTTCAACTTTCGACATGCCTACTGAAGCATCTAAACGCTATTACACCTTCCTAAATCGCGTTCTAATTTGGATACTAAATGATTTAGTCAGTCAGAAGCCCCCCTTTTTCCGATTTAGGATGCTAATTAGGACCCTAACTTCCTAAATGCTATTTCACTTGGCTGAATTAGTTACTGAATGATTTAGAACGTCTGAACTTGAGACAGGTGGAATAAGCGCTTTAGCAGTTCTAGCTAATGGGCCCGATCAAGTATTACGTAAGCAGAATTTTTACAATTATCTACCCCCTCCTCCCCCTTGTCAGCAAAAGTAAGCAAAGCTCTTAACCCCAAATACTTACATAGATAGATAGATAGATAATGCGTTTATTTTTTTTTCTTCAACATACATATACATTTACAGACAGAGTAATAAAGATACAAGAAATCAGCTATGAAATATCTATATGTATGCTGCAGAAAGCAAAAGGCCAAGGCTCGGCTAAACATTTGCCAGTTTTAAGGCAAAATACCGATTTTCAGCCATCACCTTTATGAGTGAGTAGACTAGCTTTATTAATAATAAACATTTAAAAGATTTTGCAAGGAGAAAAGAGATAACAGCCATGACAATGCAGTGGAGACAAACACATATTTAGTACAATATAGAGACAAATAATGAAGTGATTTTTGGCGAGATAAAATTAGATGATATCATACATATATATAATAACTATAATTACACATGATTTATTTAAAGTATATACAAAAGTAGTATCCGGAAACTGTTTGGAAAACAAGGCTACCTGCCCTGCCACACATAAAACTTGGGGATGTCTAATTTTTGGATTTCTAAAAAGTATGTTTTTACTGTTTTTTAAAAGTGACTTTGGAAGCCACATAAACATTGGTATATTTATATTGGTATCGTATATGCATTTTTACTTTAATGCATTCTGTTTTTTATTGATTCATGAGCTTTCATGAGCTTCATGAGCAGCAGTACTTAAATAGGCTTAGGATAGAAGACTTTAACGCACACAATATTCATTTAAAGAAACTTAATTGACACAGTATTCAATATAGAGTAAGGAACCAAATATTATAATCTTACTAGCTGACCCAGCGAACTTCGTACCGCCATAAAAAATAGGGGTTGGTGGTAGAAAGTTGAAAATTTAGGGATGTATGTATTTTTGTATCTAAAATTAAAAAAAAAAAGTTTAGGGGTGGATTTACCCTTAACATTTAGGGGGATGAAAAATAGATGTCCGATTCTCAGACCTACCCACAAACACCACAACCACAAACACCGCGACACGAGAATTTTATATATTAGATTAAGTACTATTACGAACAAAACGAAATTCTTTCGAATTTCTTGCAATTCTTTAGTCCATGACACCAGAATCCATGATGCTGACGTAATCACTATTTCGACCCCCCCACCCCCCACCCCCCATGTCATCAAAAAAAAGCAAAGCAAAGACCCTCCTGCCCCCCAATAGTGTTTACTAGTGATGTAACGAATGTTATTTTTTGAACATTCGCGAATGTGAATGCGGATGCGAATATCTGGTAGCGGTATTCGCGAATGCGAATATTTAGATTTTGTTCAAAATTGGCGCCAATTGTCTATGGCATGGTGGCAGTCTCGTTCGAATTGCGGAGTGCCGACTGAAGTGTCATTCCGCTCGCGCCGGTCTATTCGTAAACACAACAATTGAATTTTGAGGTTAAGAGTTTGAATCATCATCATCATCAGCCTATTAATGTCCCCACTGCTGGGGCACAGGCCTTCCCTATGGATGGAATAGGGAGATCGGGCCATGACCCACCACGCGGGCCCAGTGCGGATTGGTGGGTGCTAACGACTGCAAATGCAGCCGGGACCAACGGCTTAACGTGCCTTCCGAAGCACGGAGGAGCTCGAGATAGTAAATTTTTGGTCACCCATCCAATGACCGACCACTGCGAAAGTTGCTTAACTTCAACGATCGCAGCCGAACGCGTTAACCACTTGCGCCATCGAGTTCCTCGCTCCTAGCTCCAGAAGAGTTTGAATAGTGATTTATTAACATGAGTAAATCGAATTCTAGTGAAATATGGACTTATTTCACACTGCGATGCTGCACGAGCTAAATGCAAGCTGTGTAACAATGAATATTCAAGGAAAGGAAGAACAACTTATTCAAATTGTTTTTTGATGTGTAACATCTTTCCGCTCGTTTACCTGCAATTTGTGGGAGTGATTTCGTGAAATGGGACGGAAGTGTGTAACAGGAAGTCGCGAAAGCGCGGTATTTGATTTGATTTTAGAACATAATGTTCAAATGGCTTGTTCCTTTTGTAGTAGTTTTTTTTTACTAATATAAGGTGAGGTTTCAAATGTTACACATCATACGCGACTACTGTAAGGCTCGCTCGTTTTTTTCAAATATTCATATTCGCAAAACATTCGCAGAGATTTGCGAATGCGAATATTCAAAAATATGCGAATATTCGCGAATGCGAATGCAGATGTGAATATTCATTACATCACTAGTGCTTACGTAATACTTGAACGGCCCCTATAGTCTGTCCATTCTATCATTATCTTTTTAACAGATCGAAGCCCATGAAACTTTGTATTGTTAGTTTTATTGTTATTTTAGTCATGGATGTTTAATATGTTTTTCTATATAAATATACTTATATATGTACAGTATATGTATTCTATCCGTTACCCTAGCATCCCATAACACAAGCTTTACAGTGCTTACTTTGGGGCTAGGCTAATTGGTGTGAGTGTTGGAAATATTTATATTTATTATTATTATTATTGTTAACGTTAAAATGTCATAAAAATAATATTGTACTTCATGGACGGGTACCGCCCACTTAGTGATGTGCCACACATAATGATTACTAAGATTGTGCCACAGATTACAAATAATCGGTAGAAATAAATGAGACCAACCAATTGTAAGGAAAAAAGTCAAAGATATAGTTTTTTATAAACCTTTTTTTAAATGAAATTATTAATTATAATCAATAAATCTAATTGTACAGAGTATACTGCTTTTTTGTTGTATATATATAAATATTATAGATAAATCACACCCAGACACAGAACAAACACTAGTGCTCATCACACAAATATTTGTATTATTTTGTATAAAACACCAGTATTTTTGATAACTAAAATATTTTCGATACTTATAATCGATTAAACAATGTTCTAGCATAAAATCGATCATAGCTTTAAATCGAACGAGTTATGTGATAGGGTGTCACTATTTTTACTTCGATCGATCTGTCAAAATGATAATAGGAATGATGACTAATTTTTCTTTCTTCGTTTATCAGGTAGATTATCAAAAACTATTGGACGCGTATTTTTTCTTTTTTCACATAATATAAACATTGCAGAGATATATTGATTTGAAAAGTCGCATGACGTCGTAACCGAATAAAAATGTGACGGTAAATTTTTTTCCAACGCCGATAAAGAAGTTTCACTTCAAAAATCCACGCGGACCAGGCAGCGGACGGGACTCGAACCCGCATCCTTCGCTATCCGGGCGAATGCACTGACCATTATGCTACCACGGCCCTACTAGCCGCATCGAAATTTTCCTAGCCTTAAGCTGCAAGGCAGCGCCATCTCTTCGCATTGTAGGTAACCCACAGCTTAAGGCTAGGAAAATTTCGACGCGGCTAATAGGGCCGTGGCAGCATAATGGTCAGTGCATTCGCCCGGATAGCGAAGGATGCGGGTTCGGGTCCCGTCCGCTGCCTGGTCCGCGTGGATTTTTTTCTAGTAAACTTTTCTTTAGATTTAAACATCTAGCAGTTAAATGCTTAAAAAATAAATAAAATCATAACTACTCTAGATTTTTTCCTATCTTTCTGTCAGTATCGTTTTGCTCGCTCGGCGTGGCTTCAGCGTGGATATGCGGTCGGCTGGGTGTGTTGTCTCGCAGGCGAGGCAGTGGGGTCCGAGTAGTATGTTGCCTGGCCCCACTGGTGGGAGCCGCGTGTGTGGCACTGTCGAGAAGCTGTGATTACCACCACCATTGGCAGGGTGAGTGTTGTTAAATATTCAATTCAATGAGGGCTACCGTTTTCTGTCTCACCAGATGGCGCCACTGTTGAGTGAGGTCTTAAATTGTAACTTTTAAAGTTTATTAATACACACATGAAATCAAAGGTTACATTTAGATCGTATTTTAACACAAAAGAACCATATCCTAAACATAATAGGCCATGCCACAGTGACGCCCAGTTCCGTTTTATTCGGAAAAAATGGGAATACAGTCATTTTTCTAAGCTCAATTTTTTAATAACTGACATTCATTGCCACATAACTCATATTTGCCATAATTAAGCCGAATTGTTACCAATTATTCACAACATTATTTTAATAAGAAATAAACCCGCGTAGTCAACCAACAAGCAATAACATTTGACGTTTCGGAGACCTCACGCTACACTAGCGCCTCTAGCGGCGGATTCATACGCGATAGCCCTCATTCAATTCATTTATTGCAGACCATAATGGAGATACAAAGGTGGTAATATATAGATAAAAAGTGCATTATGGACCCTTTAGTGTAGGGTATCGCAATTGCAAGAGGAGAGGACGTCTTATTCATAATTCCTTATCTCTTATCTATTAGACAAGTCCGACCGTCCGTCTGTCTGTGGTGCTGTTTCAGCGGCCAAACCGTAAGAGATAGATAAAGAGAATGTTTAAGTTATAAGTTAAGAATAGTTAATAAGACTACAAACCGGATTTGAGTAACGTAGCACTTCCGGTTTTCGAGAAATCACGAATTTCAAAGAAACCACACAAAATCTCCGAAGTTAATTAAATACATTTTTTTTAAATCAGGTTTTGGTTAACATTTGGTTCACTGGTTTGCTAGTTGTAATATAATTTGTTATATCCAATGAATTAAAACCCATAAAAACACGCTTTAACTTAACGCTTTAAGTTAATTTATTTTAAAAATACTAAAACATAGTGTTTTTCATAAATTCCATTTTAATTACTTAGTATTTACCCTTAGTCACCTCATACATTGTAGGCAGCACTGTGTGATGTCATTTTGAGGAACTGACCTGCATTAACCTGCCACCACGTCACTCACAGTTATTTGCTCAAATATCAAATCACACTACACTTCACTATGAGCAGTGTTGCGGCTGTACTTGAAACCCAGAAGTCACTGGAGACCACCTTGATGCAAAGAATGCAGCAGTTTGAAGCCCAACTGAAGTCTTCAGATAAGGTAAAGGTCCCTCAGATACAGGATGAGTTTAAGGCGTTCAAGGAACTCGTCTGGAGTATCTTGTCACTTCTTAGGCAACAGATTAGTGACATTTTAAAATCTCTCGACCAGCACGAAGCAAGGCATCGAAGCAAACATCTTCTTCTTTGTGGTGTTCCAGAAAACTCTGAAGAGGACTTGAACTCAACAGTTATAACTTTGCTCCAAAAACACCTTGGTATCATGCACCTTGAAACAAGTGCTATAAAACTTTGTCATCGGCTCGGGTCTGTAACTGAGGGCCGTAACAGGCCTGTGGTGATTCGTTTTACCAACTATGCCCTTCGGTCCACTGTGTGGAAAAGCAAGAGCAAGCTCAAAGGCTCTTCACTTGTTTTGAGAGAATTTCTTACTAAGAATCGACAATCCCTGTTCCACTCTGCGCGAAATCACTTCGGAGTCTCCAGTGTGTGGTCAATGGATGGCAGCGTTTACATTAAGACACCGAAAGGCAACCGTCTACGGATCTCCTGCACTGATGAACTGACTGCTGCAATGAACCAGTTTCCCTGTACTGAGATTGCGGATGTTGCGGTGACCAGTGAGCCCGCCGTGGAGCCAGCGATATCCCAGCCTGTGCAGACGCATACTCGGCCTAAGCGTATTGTAAAAATTGTCAAAAAGTGAGTTTTGGTATGCGGTTTCCATCTACTGTGTTGTCCATTTATTTTCTTTTGTTGTTACTGTTCGAATTCCCTTATTTTATTATACTCGTTGCTCTTGCATTGTATCATTAGCTGAATTGCTTGTTTAGTGGGTAGCTTCGCTATCACTGCTAGATTAACTTACTTAATTTTTATCCATCACACATTGTAAGGTAATCTTTATTTGTATTTTGATTTGATAAGTTGATTGGCACTGACACTAACAGTGACAATGACACATGTGAATGTCATGCATGTCATCTCAGGGTGCGTTCCGAACCTACGTTCCGAGCGCATTTTTTTTTTTTTTTTACCTTGCCGAACGTTTTAACTTTATAACTTCGAACCTTATTTCACATATTAACATTTAAAGCATCTGGAGCGTGGGTTTTGAACGTGGCTCAAGTAATTATTTGCTATAATATGTACGCAAAGACCTTATGCTATACTGCCATGTTTTAAGTTCTTTCAGAATTAATGAAGTGTAGTGTGGTCATGATGTAAGGGTGGTAGTGAAGCTGCGCACACTGCTGTTGTCTGTAAGAAAGACCACAGTTTTTCTAGTGTGTTTAATTAATTAAAAATATTGTGTTCGAGTGTATGTTTAGGTTTATATATTTCTTAATCAGTTTTGTTTTTAACGTGTCACACTACTGTAAACCATCAATCGGCAGGAAATGCAGGTCTTAAAAATAGCAGTTTATTCAATCAATTTATATATCTTGATATATTTTTTATTATTTATTCATAGATATATATATATACATATTTTTTAATTGTATTTATTTAATATATTATTTTGTTTCGTGAACTTATTATAATATGTCTGATAGTAGTGAATATGGTTCAGCAGAGGATGGTACCTCGTCTTTTTGTTCCCTTAGCGACCGGTCGTCCGATGATCCTGATGATTTGGGCGCACTCGTGGCTAAAGAATTCAGTGGCACCGTAACTTTGAATGTCTGCCACATCAACGCACAGAGTGTTCCTTGTCATTACACCGAACTTTTGAACACTTTTAAGTCTAATTCAGTTGTCCATGCCGTTCTGATTTCAGAAAGCTGGCTGAAGCCCTGTTTGAGTTCAGCATCTGTTGACGTACCAGGTTTCACGCTCATTCGAAATGACAGAATTGGTAAAGGTGGCGGGGGAGTTGCCATTTATTTAACTCAGTCTATGCCTTATAAGATTTTAACTTCCTCTTCTTCCTGCTTCGATTGCATGGAATACTTATTTCTAGAAATTGATGTCAAACATACTAAAGTACTTCTAGGTGTTATTTACTGCCCCCCTTCTGTTCCTTTCCTAACAGAGCTTGAGACTCTTATTGACGACATCTCCTCAGATTACAGACATCACATAATCATGGGTGACTTTAACACGGATCTTTTAAAAGATACTCATTCCTCACGTAGCTTCCGATCAATATTTGAGTCTGCGAACTTCACTATTTTACCTCTTGGTCCGACTCATCATAATATCGTTACTGACGACTCATGGATCGACCATATCGTAACTTCCTCTCCAGACCTGGTCACGAAACATGGTCAGCTGTCAGCGCCTGGGTTTTCAAAACATGATCTGATTTTTTTGGCGCTCAAAGTAAAACCCCCTAAAGCTAAGCCGACTATGATACGTATGAGAAATTTCGCGAAGCTGAACGTTGAGAAGCTTGTAATTGAAGCGAATGCCATTGATTGGTCGCCTCTGTATGGCGAGGCATCTGTTAATGATATGATCACCACCTTTAATGCAGCAATAATAAAATTATTTGATCATCATGCTCCCGTTAAATCTGTCAAGCTACGACGACCACCTGCTCCCTGGATCACTCCTTTGGTGCGCATAGCCATGAGAAGACGTAATAAGGCCTTTCGTATTTTTAAACGATGCCGCTCTGATGTCAACTGGGAGGCTTTCAAGAGAGCAAGAAATCGGTGCAACCAGATGATAAGAGGTGCGAAACGTCATTATATTCATCAGAATGTTACTAATTCCTCTCCAGCCGAAATGTGGAAGTTCCTTAATTCAATTGGTATTGGCAAAACACGAACTCGATTTTTATCTCCTTTTTCTTTAAACGATTTTAATCGTCATTTTTCGCGCGAGAACAAACTTTCTGACACTGTTAAATTTCTTACGATTTCCAAACTTTCTTCCACGGCCACTCCTTCTAATTTCATTTTCTCCTTTAGCCCACTGACCGAACATGATGTCCGAAAGTTAGCACTGTCCATTAAGTCTAAGGCTATAGGATTCGATAATATCAATAGAAACATGTTTATATTGTTATTGGACTCTCTACTTCCTACGTTAACTTTCATCATGAACAAATCCCTGTCTTCTGGTTCATTTCCTACTGTTTGGCGTAAGGCATTTTCCATTCCTCTCCCCAAAATTTCAAACCCTAGCTCTCTCGATCATTTTAGATCTATCTCCATTTTACCTTACCTTTCTAAAATTCTCGAAGCTGCAGTTTATAATCAACTTTCTTCATACGTTTATCGCAACTGCCTTCTATCTAACTTCCAATCTGGGTTCCGCCCTGGGCATAGTACCACTACGGCGCTTATGAAAATTGTTGAGGACATACGCGATGGCATGGAGGAGTCGCGGATGACTGTTTTAGTACTACTGGATTTTTCAAACGCATTTAATGCAGTTGATCACGATATCCTTCTTGCGCTTCTTGCTCAACTTGGGTGTTCCTCCAATGCGCTGAACTGGTTCGGTTCCTATCTCCGGGGGCGGCAACAAGCCGTTAGAATTGATCAATCGATCTCTGACTGGTCCGACTTATCTGCTGGGGTACCTCAGGGAGGCGTGATCTCTCCTCTCTTTTTCTCCTTATTTATTAACTCCCTTACTTCCGTTCTTTCTACCTCTTATCATCTTTATGCAGACGACCTTCAGCTGTATACGCAAGACACCCTACCAAACCTGGAGAGGGCAGTCTGTTTACTCAACCAAAACCTCTCTCGTATACGTGAGTGGTCTCATAACTTTGGGATTACCATCAACCCCGTCAAATGTCAGGCGATCATTATTGGCAGTTCTCGACAAATTTCACGGCTTCATTTGAACACAGTTCCAGCCATTAAGTTCAACGATGTAGTGATCCCCTATTCTACGAAAGTAAAAAATCTTGGCCTCGTAATTGATAACACACTTAGTTGGGATGGCCAAATAGAGAACATATGTCGCAAGGTAAATGGAACACTTGGTTCGCTTTATCGCCTCAAGAATTTTCTCCCTCCGTGTACTAAAATCTCTCTTGTACAATCCCTTGTTCACCCTCTCTTTGATTATGCTGATGTTTGTTTTACTGATATAAATCAACTATTTCTTACTAAATTGGATCGTCTTCTCAATAACACTATTTGTTTCGTCTTTGGTTTACGTAAATACGACCACATTTCAGAGTTCCGCAATAGACTTAAGTGGCTACCTATTCGGGAGCGTAGGTGCTTAAGGACAGTTCTTACCCTTTTCAATTTACTATACGATCCACGCACCCCTGGATATCTGAAATCTCGGTTTCAGTTCCTGGGGTCTTCCCATGAATTAAATCTCCGTTCCAATGATAATTTAATACTTGAAGTACCCATTCACCATACTGGGTTTGTCTCCAGCTCGTACACCCTTTCTGCCATCCGGCTCTGGAATGCACTTCCTTTACACGTGCGTAGTGCCCCAAACAGGAATGCGTTTAGGGCTTTGGCGCGGAAACATTATTTAAATTTATCGCAAAATGCTTGAATTTAAATTAGGATACTATAATCAGACACTGTATATTATTATTAGATATGTATTTATGTATGTATATATTTGTGTGTACCTATTATATATGTTGCTAGAATGTATATTTATGTATGTATGTGTAAGTGATTAATGCTTTTTAATGTTTTCTCTGTTCGTTGTCTGCCGTTTTATTTTCTCTGCACCTTCTTTCCGGTTGACTGGTAGAGAATGCCATACTGGCATTAAGTCCGCCATTTGCATTGTAAAGGCAATAAAGATTAAATAAATAAATAAATAAATAAATAAAAATTATTTATTCATACTACTCCAATAAGATATTGTATAATTAGATTTATGATTTATGTACGATTATTAATTAATTATTATAAGTATTGTATTATATCTTTTTATAATAAAAATAATATATAGTATTTATTATATTTATTCCATAGTCGTTTTATCATTTAAGTATTCCTGGAGGCTATAATAGCATTTATTCAATAACATTAACTTATTGTTTTTAATAAAAACATTGTAATTTTCTTATTTGTTTCTTAGGTTTTCACGCACATCACTCATTAAATAAAACTAGTTTTTACGGGTTAATGCACGAAACTTTATTTATTTATTGACGTTTCGCAGCCTTTTCAGGTCTGCATCGTCAGAATAATGATTTTTTATTTAAAATTGTCGAGCTACCTTCGAAAGACTTATATTGAGCGTTCGGTTATTTCATTGGAAGATTTTTAAAATTTTATTGTCTATGTATGAATTTATTATTTAATTTACTTAATAAAGTATTTTATTTAAAATTCTTGTTTGTAATTTTGAGTTTATTTATTTATTTGACCCTAACTACCGTAAACTACCACCGGTTCCAAAATTGGGAGACCTTTCTGAGAAGAACCGGCGAAACAAACTCAAGAGAGGCTTTCTATCTCCTTCTTATGTTAAATTATGCAAACAAAAAGAACTAATAGTATCTGATGGTCTTGCAGTGTGTGCTCGGGTTTTGCTGCAGCTGAGCGGCGGTTCGTTCCTCGAATGATGCGCGAGGCTATTGAGATTAAAAAATATCCAAATTTCAATAGGGAAGATGGTTGGTATATACCACCAGCTTGGGAACCTATTATACAGGAGATAAAATCCCAACCCCGAGCACACACTGCAAGACCATCAGATACTATTAGTTCTTTTTGTTTGCATAATTTAACATAAGAAGGAGATAGAAAGCTTCTCTTGAGTTTGTTTCGCCGGTTCTTCTCAGGAAGGTCTCCCAATTTTGGAACCGGTGGTAGTTTACGGTAGTTAGGGTCAAATAAATAAATAAACTCAAAATTACAAACAAGAATTTTAAATAAAATACTTTATTAAGTAAATTAAATAATAAATTCATACATAGACAATAAAATTTTAAAAATCTTCCAATGAAATAACCGAACGCTCAATATAAGTCTTTCGAAGGTAGCTCGACAATTTTAAATAAAAAATCATTATTCTGACGATGCAGACCTGAAAAGGCTGCGAAACGTCAATAAATAAATAAAGTTTCGTGCATTAACCCGTAAAAACTAGTTTTATTGTAATTTTCTTCACTTTTTAAATTTTTGGGTAATTTGTTATAGATTGTTATAGACATATTATAAGTGCTCGATGAGCATAATTTAAGGCGAGCAGTTGGAACCATTAAATTTTTCTTGTGTCTCGATGTATATTTTGAAGGAATGTTTTCTCTTGCAAAAAAAATTGAATACTCTATCATTATCATCAGCCTATTAATAAATAAGAATAAAATGAAATTTAATACCTATTTTAATTTATTGTAGATATATAATATAAATTCTGAATTGTAATAGTCAGTTATAGTAGTTATTAGCGTTTTTATATAATTACTAGCTGACCCAGCGAACTTCGTACCGCCTTAAAAAAATAGGGGTTGGTGGTAGAAGGGTGAAAATTTAGGGTTGTATGTATTTTTGTATGATGTATCATAAAAAAAATAACTAAAATTAAAAACAAAATTTAGGGGTGTATTACCCTTAACATTTAGGGGGATGAAAAATAGATGTTGTCCGATTCTCAGACCTACCCAATATGCACACAAAATTTCATGAGAATCGGGAAAGCCGTTTCGGAGGAGTTTAACCACAAACACCGCGGTGCGAGAATTTTATATATTAGATACTCTTGTAATTAATTGATTTTTGTGCCCGACGGGATCCATGATTGTGCATATATTTTTTGTAACATCTTGTATACATTATGGAAAACAATAAAAGATTGAGTATTGAGTAATACCTCCACTGCTGGGGTACACGCCTTCCCTATGGATGGAATAGGGAGATTGGGCCGTGACCCACCGCGTGAGCCCAATGCGAATTGGTGAGCGCTAACGACTGCAGATGCACCCGGGACAAACGGCTTAACACTTAACTTGATAGTAAATTTTTGGTCACCCATCCAATGACCGACCACTGCGAAAGTTGCTTAACTTCAACGATCGCAGCCGAGCGCGCTAACCACTTGCGCCATCGAGCTCCAATACTCTGCAATAATAAATATTCTGTAAATACTCATATTTATATGTGCGTGGGAAAGAAATGTGCGAATGATATGAATGAGAAGTTGAATGAGTGAATGGAATAGATAAAATATAGGGTTTAATCCGTAATATATACCAGCATACTGGCCAGTGTTAATGACGTCATGATTTCGACGCCATATTGCACTGGGGGCCAATCGCCTAACGGAAATGCTTTGGAAAACGCTAACGCTTACGATTTTATTTTGTTATTTCTAGCCGCCTGAGGTATTCAAATGCCTCGCGCTCTTTCTTTTTCTTTTGCATTGGTAATAATAATATTAAAAAAAAATGAGCGTGAGGTATTCGAAAACCTCAGGCGGCTAGAAATAACAATATAAAATCGTAAGCGTTAGCGTTTCCCAAAGCATTTCCGTTAGGCGATTGGCCCCCTGGTGTAGTAGTAGTGTGGTCAATATGGCGTCGAAATCATGACGTCATTACCGCTGGCCAGCGTGCTGATGTATATTTCGGAATACACCCTTAAATAGCTGAGAGAAAGGGAATGACCAAGGAGTCCTGTTCAACGATGACGACGCGACGGTAAAGTTGATTTTTGTAAAAGTTATTTTATTTCATTCGAATTTCATATATGTATCAAGTTTCATGGTATCGCCTACTCGAGAGGTCCCCGGCTCGAATCTCGGTGGGGGCAGATGTTTGTGCATTTGTACTCGTCATGGATGTTTAATATGTATTTTTATACAAATATACTTATATATGTATCAGTATATGTATTCTATCCGTTACCCTAGTATCCCATAACACAAGCCTTACAGTGCTTACTTTGGGGCTAGGCTAATAGGGATGATGACGGGGTACAGTAAACGAAATTCTATTTAGTTCGTCAGTTAGATGATCAAAAAATAATGGACACGTATTTTTTCAAAGTTAAAAGTTAAAAAGCGCGTCAAAGTTTGGGAGTAGGGGCTCGTGGCGTCACTTTTGAGTGAAAATTGTACTTGTTTAATTGTAAAACGTGACGTCATGCGACTTTTCAAATCAATATATCTCTGCAATGTTTATATTATGTGAAAAAAGAAAAAATACGTGTCCAATACTTTTTGATAACCTACGAAAAAAAATAGTCATCATCCCTATTGGTGTGAGTGTTGGTAATATTTATTTATTGATTTAATCTTTCAGATATCCTAGTCGGCTCAATTTTAGGATTCAGCATTGCAATATTCTGCTACCGGCAGTACTACAACCCGTTGTCATCCGACCTCGCCGGGGTTCCGTACGTAGTTTCCAACGCAAACTTAATAAAATATGTTAACGGCAAGCCCGATGTAAGTCCGATCAAAGATTGCAAAGAAGTTGAGTCGACTCCTTTGCTCAACGGCCGGAAGGAAGATAAATGGATTTAAGAAAAAAAAACAAACAGAACTGTCAAATTCGTGATCTCTATACGTTTTGGGTTTATGAAGACTATGGCTGCATGGCTCTGCCTTTGCCTTTTCCAAGAAGGGAAAAAAAAGATTAAAAAAAATATACGTTTTGGCGCCATTTTACAGAGTCACTTGCGTTCCGTTTTTTTTAAAGCAAACTGTTTTTGCCGATTTCCGTTGAGAAATTGGTAAAGGGCGGAAAATAATGGAGAATGGTGAAGTAATGTGGCTTTTGCCTTTTAATGAATAAATTCAGCTCATTTCTCCGATTTTCAGTGAATGCACTTGTATCAACTTCGTCGTTACGAATAAAACAGAGTTTTTAAAGGCCAATAGAAAGCTGGTATGCTTTTATATATTTTCGCGCCCTTAAGGCTTATACTATTGCACAACGAGTGGAAAATTTAAAATGAAATTGAAGTCAATTTTTTATATTAAAGTAATGATTTCAACTTGAAAACTTACTAAGGAATTGGACTCCATATATATGGCGCCGAATACTTTAAGAAATAGAATAATGCGTTGCATTAGAATTTTAATCATAAACTGAGAATGGAAGAAAAATGGTTTTGAAAACTAGGCTGTATGGACTTAGTATCCTATGTCGTCCTTAAAGGAAAATTATAATAAAAAAGAACAAAAAAAAAGACAAACGTCATAAATGTGATCTCTATGAATTAGTGATACCAGTAAGTAGATGTAATCCTACCAAAAGGTAAGAAATATTATCTGTATGCGTTTCTTTATCAAATATTTTAATTGTATAACATTTTTTAAATTTATTGTAAGGTTACTCCTGGATACGTCTATCGGTCTAACTAGCATTCTAGCTAAAAAATAATTTTACATTGAGCAAAAAGATTTTCTCAGTTTTGAAGCTGATTTATGAACTGCTTTTGTCGGGTTCTTTTAAAAGTATATATTATTATTGCTCAACCTAACATACAGGGTGTAAAAAAATCTTTAACGAAGTCGAAGGCCACGTATTTTCCACATCATGACGATAATTTTTTTCTTCTGGACCATACCTGGGAAATTTATGGTTACGGAGATATTGAAGGTCAAAGTCACATTTTTTTTTCAAGCTTTATACATTAATATTTTCAAAACGTTATTTAGAAAGTTTTTTATCGACGCACTTACACACAGGCACATTCTTTGCGTAGCGCCACAGTAGCGGGCCGCGGTATACATTGCGTACTGAAAAAAAAATTCATTTTTTTTAACGTAAAATTACAAATGATTCCTACGTATAGTATTTTGTAATATTACTTGTTTGGGTGTATAGAATGCGTAGTTTTAGTCTTTGTCATAGGTTTTTGTACAACCTGTATATTTTTGCTACAGATCGTTGAAACTTATAACACTCTAGGAAGGCCATAGGGGAAGATCTTCCTCCGAGCTGGGTGATGGTAGCTCGGTGACCGCGGCTCGACTGTTTTTTTTCTTTGAGTGTGTATGCTGTTGGTCGCAGATGACCTTTACAGCGTCACCGGGTTTGGGGACGGCGAGATCCTAAGGGGACCTCAAGCCGAGAATTGGCGAGTGCCTCTAGAGGTATTCCAGGCGGATGGCGTCTCCCCACGGGGGAAGTCTCCTCTCCGTCTGGAGCCTCTACAGAGGCCCGACTGGTGTTGGTCGGGCATCGTATACAGGATGTTACAAAAATACAAATAAAGCTTGAAGGGCGTTGAAGTACATCATATAAGGAGTCTTCTCTAATTTTCTTAAAATTTTTGCATGAAGTTTTAACTTTTTATAAACACAACAGTAATTTTTAATGATTAATAAATATATCGATCATTTTAAGACACGTCACTAGTTCGATGATCATTAAAATTAACTGTTTTTATAAAAAGTTACAACTTCATAAGAAAATTAGAGAAGACTGTTTATATACTTCAACGCCCATCAAGCTTTAATTATATTTTTGTAACATTCTGTTTTAGCGTCCGAATTTCATTTGCGCGATGTAGGCTTCCATACTATTGTGATCGCAGCGCAGGTAGCGCCATCTCTTGAGGAGGTGAGTGATTATTTCCTCCATGTTAGTTATATGTGGGGCATGTTGATGTCGCTGTTACAAAACTAAGTGGGCTGATAGATGTGTCCCGAAGTGCTCATAATTGTAACTACAAAAATAGTATAGGTCAAAATAACATCTGTGTTTAATGTACTAAAGATTAATTGATGAACTCCGAGGCTGAGTGGTTTCTGCACCGGATTTCATGGTGTCGCCGACTCTTGAGCCGGGTTCCAATCCCGGTGTGGGCAATTGTTTGTGTGATGAATACGAGCATTTGTATTCCAGTGAAGTAAAATGTATTTCTATAGAAATTTACTTATATATGTACAGTATATATATTTTATCCGTTACTCTAGTATCCCAAATACAAGCCTACAGTGCTTACTTTGGGGCTAGGCTAATTGATGTGAGTGTTGGAAATATTTATTTATTATTATTTACAATTCAATGTTAATAAAGTTGACACCAGTGTTGCCAATTTGAAAATAAAAATGTCCTGATTACAAAGATGGATTAGTTAAATGTTTTTTATTAAATTTTTATTTAGAATCAGTTTTTAGATTTGTTATTTACACAAGTACTTAATTTTTTGTTAAGTTATTAGTAATATACAACGATATTAAGTACCCTAGATACACCACGTGCGCTCAAAATGTGTCCCAATCAAGAAGTGCTTGAACACGACTCAAGCACTTCTTGATTCACAGTCACGCGCGGACCGTAGAAAAGTCAACATGCCTCTGAGCTCCATGAAAACAGGCGAAAAAATTACTTATCGAATGTAAAATGTCGTTTTTCGACAGGTATCTATGATTAGATATATGTTTGTTAATTTAACGCATTTGAAGTAATATTAGTTTTAATACTTACTTACTATAAACTGATTTAATAGAAAATATTTGTGATATTCAAATTCATGGTCGATAATATAGCCATCTCTTTTCCTTGCGGACCGTACCTGTTATATCACTAACAGCGCATTCAGAATTGCGCGTAGAGTCAAAATAAGGTCTTTATTCTTCTGCACATAGCAATAAGTCGTAAAATTTTACGAGCTTACATATCGAACTGCCATAACTCTTTGACGCGTGCGTTTTAATTAAGACCTCATTTAGTATGCTTTAAAGGTGATTTTCAATGTTCAAATAATGCCTTATATTGTTTAGACTACGCGATCATCTTAAGGAGCGCCGTGGATCGTCCAATGTACCTTTTGGACAGGTTTCGGGTATGATTTTGTTCGTGTTGGTGTATCTAGGGTATTTAATATCGTTGGTAATATAGCTGAATTTTACATCGACAAAAGTAGCATATAGCTATGAGCTGCGTTTTTATTAAATTAACTGTTTTAAGAGTGTCATTAAGTGTATAATTAGCGGCAAATTTCTTGAGCAGAAACACAGACAAATAAGCTTGCGCAGAAGACGTTTTTGTATGTAAACTTGCTATTGCGCAGGCTTCCTTGTCTATAGACGCGGGAGAATACCTAAACGGGGATCCCGCGGCTTCGCGCTAAGCAGCTTAGAGGGTATTCGCAGGGTTTTTTAAGCGTATATTATGCCGTAGAGCGCCTGTAAGAATTACGGGGTCCTCAGTGGGCAGCCACTGCTGGGGCTCGTAAGGCTTGCGGGAGCCAGGTGTGAGGTCCGTTCGGCGGTGTGCCTCTTAAACTCGCCGTCGTCTGTAAGCAGTATTTTTGCCTGCGTATAAAAAAAAGGCTTCCTTGTCTATGGTCGATGCCCAAGAAGTTTGCCGGGGTGTATACGTATATATTTGTTTTTTTTTTAATTTATATTAACACGCATTATTTCTATTGCAGTATTAATTATGCATTTCACGATTACCTTTATTTTTTTTTTGGATTTGATAATTTTAAGTATTTTGCGTCAGCCCCGTGTTGTAAATTATAATATTTTTAATAATTTACATGAATTCACTAGAAAGTTGTATTGTTCATTATACAAAAAATATTTCTTGTTCTATATCCAGCAAATAGGGTATTTGACAGTATTAAAAATAAAGTGGCAATTGTTAGCATCTGTGTTTAGAATGAATATTGGCAGTTTTTACTATTTTTACAAAAAAAATCATAGTTTTATTAAAAACCCACGAAAAAGATAATAGTTTTCTTATCTATTGTCACATGACCCAAAACGCTTAGGATTGGCGGAGCCTAAAATGACGTCACACGCAAGTAAACTTCCGGTTAAAGTGACATTACATTGTATCGTTTGTCGTTTTAATAACAGTCGTGTGACGTCACACACTAGTAAGACGCCATATTGTCCAGAGAAATGTTTTCGCGGCAACTTGTAAATGTAGTTTTTGATTTAGTTATCTTTACTGAAATATACAACAGAAAGATGAATATCCACTCCGGACGGACTCCATAAACATTATTCAATGACGTGAGATCGTTTTCTAAAACTTGTCAAATACCTACCCTATTGTTAATGTTAATGTTCGTTTATGGGAAACTTAAATATAGTTAATTCTGTTTATGTTCGTTTGTAATCAAATGTATGTTTATTTACATTCCTAATGTTATTTTAATAGTTTAATTAATGCACAATACTTATCTTTTGTATAACAAAAGGTATATATTTAAATCGACTTGTCTAAAACTGTCAAAATTCTCCAAACAGCTCAAAGCTGTGTTCTTTATTGTGCTTGATAAAAAGTTCATAATTGATTGAACAAAATTGTGATAACTTTAAGTGTTGCTGACCGCACAATCTCATAAGTTGATGTGTAAAGAAACATTTCTTTGAACCGGTAATTCAATGTACCGATTTTACTAAATGCATGATTTTTTTTCTAAATAGCTTCGCACGGATTGTGCATTTAGCCAATGTCAAGTGTTAAAAAAGTAATAAATTAAGTCAAAGTAAGTGGCAGTCAAGTCAATCCCCCTTTCCCTATGTTTCAGTAAATGTGTGGGGATTTACTGGAACCTCCCCGTGGACTTTTGAGGGAACGTCGAAAGACACTTTCCGCTATTTTGTTTCACTTGCCAACACTTGTGCATGTTCCCGAACACTTAGTGGTTAATGATCCACCATTAATAGACACTAACATCCGCCACAACACAATTTTTAACAAGAAAAACAAAACTGCTAAAGTGACGCTTCCCGATCCCGCCAAAAAGTCATGCATGAAAATACAGACATAGATCGAAATAGAGATACTTCGCGTGCCAAAACGGGGAGCAATGCACTTTCTTTTACGCCAATTTGACCTCCGTGGCCGAGTGATTTGTACGCCGGATTTCAAGCTGTTGCCTACTAGAAGGTTCGAATCCCGGTGGGAGCAGATGTTTATTTGTGATGAATACGAGCATTTGTACTCCAGTCATGGATGTTTAATATGTATTTATTTACAAATAAACTTATAAATGTATTCTATCCGTTACCCTAGTATCCCTAACATAAGTCTACAGTACTTACTTTGGGGCTAGGCTAATTGATGTGTGTTGGAAATATTTATTTATTTCTTCGTGTCACCAATATCGATGCCGGACGTTAATCGTAATGTTTAAACAATATCTAATTGCCTATACTAAGCTGTAAAAACGGTAAAATTTAAATAGGTGACAGCTTTGTTCCCGTGAGAACTCAAAATCTCTGTTAACATACAATGAAGATCATTACTAGGTCAGCAAATCAACTCAAAATCGACAGTATAATGATCTAATAAGCTTTTTAAATCATCGAAATCGGTTCATTTGTTGCGATTTTATAACTAATTTTATGGTAGCCAATATTCACGGCGGCCGAAACGTGTGACGTCACAGAGCTCGATCGTAGTTTACTCTGGTCGAACTTCAGAAGTGTCTCTACGCACGCTCGCGCCCGAGCGGTGAAGTCACAGCCACCACGCGGCCAGCCAAAACTTCGTTTAGTAATTTGGTCATAACTTCGTCAATATTTGTTGTAGATCAAAAATTTAACCACTATATTTTATGGAGCCCTTCCCCCCTAGCATGACTAACAAAACGCGATATGATAAAGCGATTTATCGACACTCAACTGTCAAACTCCATTGTAGTTTGGGCTCCATTGGACTTAGCTCTATAAATCTGCATTTTATCATCATCAACAAAATCGTCACGGATCCTCATTTGAATTACATGCGGCGTCTTTTTCAATCTAAGTCTGTGCATGAAACTTACAGAAGGCAGTATTTTTGCTAAGCAAATGCTACTTAATTGTGTGGGTAATAAAATAAATTATAAGTTTGTGTTCAAATTTAATTAATGTCCAGGTAGTCTGTGCGGAAAGAGAATGGGCGTGGCGAAAAACGGAACTAACATAAAGATTTTTATTTGGCAATCAAAGCCAGCAATCTGTAAAACGTCAAAGTTTTGTATTGATACGGATTTGTTTGTTGTTGTGATTTCTTGCGGTTTTTTGTATTTAATCATGTCTAAAAGGGGTAAAACCTTACAGATACGGTAGAAAAGCACTACAGCGCCCTCCAATCTAAATCCCATTCTCTTTCCGCACAGACTCTAGTAGTATATATATTTTTTATTTGATTCCTACATTTTTAATCTATTTTAAATCCTAATGCTGTAAAAGTAAACTTGAAAATCGGTTGAAGGATATTGAAATTTTGTGATAACTGTTACCTACGCTTGTTTTGCATTTAGTCTCACTGACCCCTTATTATTAAACCAGGAATATTTAAATGTTGTAACTTTTAATACCTACTTAGAATTATGCTGGCAACTATTGCAAACAGGAATTACGATGTTACCATTTTAAGAAAATAGTTACCAATTTAGATACTTAGTAGATTTCGATGGTTCTGTGAGATTCTAATGTATAACATTAGATTAAATCTATTTAATGTCAAGAGTTATTTTCTTGTTTGATGTTACAAAAACTATGATATGTTTTATGTATTTGAATAATTGTAAATTATTATCGTACATTCTATGTGATAAATATATTCGATAAGTACAAGTTGATACCTAAGTAATATTAAATATTTTGCAAATTTATTTTATGTGGTTTTATTGCCTGAATCTATTGTAATAGTTGATAAATATTTTAATTTATGAATTACGGAGATTAATGGTTAAATTATAGATATTAACGGGATTGTTACCATGTACCTTGTTTTTTACGAGTCTCCGATATTTCGGCACTGTTGCAAGCGCCATGATCAGAGTAACTGAGTTTAAAACAATATATTAATGGTTAAAAATAAAAATATAATAAGATTTCATGATTAATCGCTGAATTTTTTGCAAGAATTATTGATATTTTATCGAAACTATTTTCCAAAGTAGAAATATATTTATTTTTTGAAACCAGCTTCGGAAGAAGATTTAAACACTTTTTCGGTTTTCTAATCATTGATGTAAAAGAATAATTGGATATCCATCTTTATGGACAGGCCATGGATAAGCTTGCCTTTGGAATTGTGTGAAAAGTAGAATCAATATAAAAATGTATGTGGGAATGTGAATGATAAAAACACATATCAAGTGCAAAAAATAATAATTTATAAAAAATACTAATTACATGCGAATTGAATTATAATTAAAGGTAGCGGCGAATTTCTTAAGCAAAACCACAGACAAAAAAAACATGCACAGTAAAAGTTCTTGTATGTAAAAAAAATGTTACTGCGCAGACCTGATTGTCTATGGCAGATGGTCAAGAAGTTTGCCGGGGTGTACACAAACGAATTACTATGTACAAAGTTCAAGTACTTACTCAATAAACAATATGTATCAATTTGGCACGAATCAATGGCCCATAATAATTATTCATACACTGTTGATAAATAATGGTACTTTCTAAGAAACCCTGTGAAGCTAATAAGAGGGAGTCAGTATTAAAAGATGCCAACAGCGCCATTAACAACACAACAGCTGTGTCCCCTCAGGTGACGAGTGATAATTTTTCTAGAAAAAAATCTGTGTCAAATGGGATTTCACTTAAGAAAAATCTCAATTGCACCCCCATAAAAATTGAGGGGACAAAGATGCGAGTGGCGCCGGGAATGACCAACTGATATCAGCGCCTCTGGTGCTGAGTGGTTAGAACTAATAGTGAGTGACGTCAATGCAACATTGGTAGCTGTGCAGTAGCTCGTCTCTGTACTTGCTTCGTGGGTCTTCCTTACACTTTCGGAATGTTTGCAAATCTCTTAGAAAAGGTCGTTGAACTTTTTTGGTTACACTTGGCGCCCTTTAGGCGCTTTGCAGACGACGGGGCGGGTCGGCCCGGTCAATTTCGCTGCGAATAATAGCACAAAGTGAATTTTATACTTCAAACGCACACAGAGGGCAAAAAGACCCTTGGGTGCCCGGCGGGCACTGGCGGCGCGGCATGTCCGCGGCTGCCCGCCGTGGATCATACAAACCAGTTTATATGCAGTAACGCAGACGGCGGCGCGGGGCGGTCAGCTCAGTCCGCGCCACGCGCTTATTAGTGATGGACTATTCACTAGAACGAACGTCCTGAACTACCGCCTCTGCCCGTCGTGTGCTTTGTGTACGCGGCGCGGGCAGCCGCAGACATCGACGGGCCCGCCCCGCCCCGTCGTCTGCTAAACACCTTATTGGCGACAGAATATAAGAGGTATATTGAAAATTTTCTCGGACTGACTTCGATGGGGAATTGTGTAACTTTTTGGCTCACCGCAAATGGCACTTTTACTTTTAGCCTTGAAGAGGAAATGATAAGCAGAAAGCGACCAGCGGTTCACTTTGAAGTAAGTGAAAATTTGTTCTACGAACCCATGTTAAAGTTACATTCTGTTTGACCCTAAAAATGATCAATGATCGCTTACTGCTTCCACAATCATAAGTTTAAAAATGGCCCACAGAACTCATTTTTGCTAGCTTCATAATTGCCCGCTGATTTCACTTATTGCTTAACACTGGTAAAGTTAGACTTCATATACACGAGCGGGTTGCAGGCAAAGTCAGCGCAACTGCAGTCGTCGATATGGCGACGGCTGCTGTCGACCCGTTGACGACTGCAGTTGTGCTGCCGTCTGCAAGCAAAAAATTAGCACCAAATGAAACGTGCTATATGAATTAATGTATTCAGTTTGTTCCCAATATGCTCTTTAGTATTAGCTTTTCACATGGTGGTAAGGGGGTTAGATGCAAACTTTATGGCGGTTGTGAATATAGCTTTGAGTGCAACTATGCGCAGGTTGCAGTTTTTTTTTATATAGCCAGGTAAGCTAATGACTTTACCCCACCTGATGTTAAGTGGTGAGCAAGTCCAAACGCGAAGATAGCTGGTACAGCAGTTATAAACTGCCACACCAACCATCCTCACATTGCCGGGCTGCAAACATGCTTCTTCTTCCATGATGCCAGCACTTAAGTTGGCTATTCGTGTTGGCTATTTGTAAACTTAACATCAGTCTGTCCGTTTTAATCCTTACAAAGAATGATAAGGACAGACTGTAGACAAGTTTACAAATAGCAAAAACGAATAACTTAGTGAAACGGCGGTATGAAACGTGCGACTTGAGCCAATTTCGAAACTACCATTAAGTTTAAATTGCAATATACTAACTACACAAACGTTATTCCAAGTGATCACATGCATTATACATTATAGAAAATTAATTTATAACAAATACATTAATATTGCTTATGTCAATTTTAATACTACGGAAAATACATTCTTAAAGTAAACAAATTCAATGTTCAACATCTTGAAGCGTAAATCGTTTGTGGACTAAAAAAATATTTACAAATACCTACATACTAAAAATTTAATTAAATGTTCACAAGTCAATATCTTTTTTGAAAAGATTTAACTTTTAACAAAATATCACCCACTTCATATGATAGGAGGCATACGCGAAATTAGACCTTATTGTGATAGATATAAAGTCTTTCTTGGAAAAAAAGGAAGTATTATCATTTTGCGGACAATATTGTAGATTTGAATATAAACTGTAGTTATAGTCATTGGTGGTTACTTTAGATATCGATAGCATCTTCAAAACAAAAGTAAGTCATTGGTATATCCACCCAAGGCCTCATCAGTTAAATTTTTTATACTAATTCATACTTTACGTTGTGGAGTTAGAGTCAAAATTCTATGCACACACTTGTTTGAAAACTATTCAAATTTATTGCTATTGTAATTCATTAATCTAATGATATGGAGATTCCTTTCAATTATTCAGTACATTCATACTTCAGTCTATTCTGTCATACAGCGATATCTTATACAAGGAAACAAGGATAGATTGAAAACTGTCCCACTTCAATCTCCATGTCAAAAGAGTTGCAAATTAATTGTGAATAAATGACGTTGTAACTATTATAAATACATATTAAAATTACCAAATTAATCTCTGGGCATAATTAAAATCTTTCCAAAGTATCTCCTTATTGAAAAATAAATAAAATGTCACAATATTAATAATCAAATACCACAAGAACTCGAAACCAATAATTAAGTTTGATGCCTTGACAAACCTAAGTCTTAAAATTATGTAAGGAACTAAGAAATATCTAACCTCAATCATTTTCTGTAATGCTAACACAACAAATAAACAAACTGAATATGGCAACAGAAACGATATACAATTTTGGTTGCGTAAATTATCATACAAGTTACATAGTAAAAATACATACAATGGTATTGTAGCATAAATTGCATAGTCAAATTTACCAAACCACCTGTTCCAAACGTAGAATGTATAGTGTCGGTTATCGGCTAATAGATATGGATGCGTCACAGTATTATAATGCACAATCAAAGCGAACAGCAAACCCAGAAAAACTATTTTTAATTTATTCGTAATCATTAACTTAAATGTTGATAAAGTCTTAGTTAGTACATATGGCAAACCAAACACACAATAGAAAAGCAAAAAGTAAAATATTTGAGGGATGTGCAAGGTCGCTTCATGGGCCTTTTTGTCACCGACAACAATGGAACCGTTCACATACACAAACGCTACAAAAGATGACAATATAATACAATGAGTGAATAATATTAACATATCTTGCAAAGATAGGAACTTGAAAAACGTAATCATGCATGTGGACACATGGTATTTTAGAGCCACAAAAAAGTCACTGAGCCCATAATAACGCTTCAATTTCGATGAATCAACATCACGGGCTATAAGAGAAGTCTTACTCAGTTTTACTTTTGTTAGGTTCTGGTTGCCAAATACTCTAGAGCTGCGTATGAAAATGTCTAACGCTTTATGGCCAAATACCATAGCTATCCAAACTATGTTTGTTTGACGCATCAAAACACTGGCCAGGCCAAAAATTAATATCAATAACTTATGTCTATTTGTAAAGCATAATCTGGAAAACATTAACAAAAATGTCAACGACAATGTGTCCGTATAATAGACATGTGAAAAGAAGTACAAAGGTGGTAACAACGCTAGGTTTAATGCTTGCATTACGTTTTTGAAGTAGTTATTTGATCCGTAAACGAATTTCAGTATTGAAGCAAACAGCAGCAGGTTGACACATGATGCTATTAAGTTTATGAATCGTAGATTGTACACATTGCATTGGAAATAGCTTCCTAGAAACGCAGCGGACACGAGATACAGTCCAGGGAGTGTGGTTATTTTAGGATCCCAATATGTGAAATTTCGCTCGCAAAACGCCAAACCTTGTGGTATATGGAATAATTCATCTATAACAATATGAATTGTGTCGTTCACTTTGTTAAACACGACATTGGAAACTCCAAAATAAACAGCCACTGTGATCAGTAAGGATAAGTAGTATTTGGTTCTTGAATTCATTTCGGCTCTTTGTTTTTGTCTAAAAGAGGAAGATTGACACCACATTAATTAACTTGATCTAACTATAAGCAATCAGTAACGTATTTTTTTAGGAAAATACATTTGAAGAAAAAAATTCACGCTTACCTGTAGAAAAATCAATAATTTATAGGTTTATTTCTTCAGCGAGGATTAAATATTTTAGTATTCAGCTCTGATAGTGAGCAATTATTTTGTTGTATTAGGTGTGTATTCTTTGAATTATCTAAATAACAGGAATATACATTCAATCTCATTTTTTACCGGCCGCTGATAGTGGCGGTAAATTTGACATCGAATCAGTGAATTAACTACGGTTAGGAAACCAAACGCAAATTAACAATTTTTAATTTATATTCAATCTAAGTTTTACCAAATCAAACCATTTCAATTTGCCTTAATCTAAAAATTATAATGCTATTAGAAAAACTAGTATAATGTTTACATCCAATTGATCAATAATGAATAATTTTACACGGAATTCATTAACAACTAAACGTTTTTACATAGTTTCGTTCCATGCAGTGTCGATAAATATTTACACATACAATGTTTTGAGTAATTTCGCTGTTGTCTGGTAGAAGCGATAGAAGGTAGCTATTATACAAATCGTAAAACACAGAAACACTATTTTTTGGTACAAAAAAAATCATTTAAAGAGAATTTTGATATTAATACTAAAACAAAACATTCAAAACTTGTATAAATTAGATTTCGTTTTCGTGCATTGAACGGAACGGTACATGGAACATTTGTTCTCATTGGATGTTTATTGAGTGCTTATTTATGTGCAGTATTGTGATTGGCTAGTTGTATGTTTTTCCTTTTTTGGATTGGCTTTACAAGAAATTATTTAATACACAGTTGAAAGTTGTAAGTGGAAACATAACTTGACAGTCGGTTATGATTAGTGATAACGGTTTTGGATTAGTTTCAAAATCAAAAAGGACATTGTTTTATTTTCTTTGAAAGTACTGCTATTATTGTGTTAATTTGTCTTACAATGGAAATGCACTAAAAGTGAACTTGCTCTATTACTACGTGACATTTTAACTAAAATGGAAGCCAACGATTTCATAGTGCGTTTTAAGGCAAATGGCACAGAGAAAGATTTGTGTGATTTGCGTCAAGTGTGTGACGATTACAAACTTATATTGTCTAATTTAGGAGCTAAAGATAAAGGAGCCTTCGCTTTGAATGTTCTCTGTATATTGTGCAGGTAAATTATAAATCAATTTTCATTTAACACTGTTTGAAAACAACAAACTTTCATTTTACTTTTTGATGTGTAACATCTTTCCTCTCGCTTTCCTGCAATTTGTGGGAGTGATTTCGTTAACTGGGACGGAAGTGTGTAACAGGAAGTCGCGAAAGCGCGCGTTATTTGATTTGATTTTAGAACTTAATGTTCAAATGGCTTATTCCTTTTGTAGTAGGTTTTATTTCTTTTTTTACTACTATAAGGTGAGGTTTCAATTGTTACACATCATACGCGACTACTGTAAGGCTTGTTTTTGTCTGTTCAATGGGAGTTAAATGTATTACTTACACTGATTGTTCCAGTTGGCTGCATGCCTTTTTTTTTGTGGCTGTTTCCGTTTAATACAGAAATTTCGACAATATCCCGTAGTGCGAGAGACGGTATTTGAGAGATTGCTCGGTATTTATACAAGTAAGAGTATCAAATAGGAGGCTGTGAAGCCCTTGGAACTTACTGTTGCCTGCCTTTTACGATATTTGTCACGAAAGATGAAACTTGACATGCGCTTATAGAAAGTAGGCAATTTAAAGTTCTATATAGCGGTATGAGGTCTGAAAGGGAAAGGGACTGGGCGCCATAGGGGTGGCGGAAAGAGGGAGGCGCCGCACAGTGCTGATTCACTTCGTGAATATTCATTGCCGCTTACCTTTTGTGGTGTGTACTGTACCAAAAACTTGCAAGTTAAATTAGACCCACTTCTTTTTTTCCCTTGTAATTACGCATATCGTCATTGTACAGTAAAGCATTTTTTTTGTTTAATAGATAGGTCCGATAATGACTCCACCCCACCTGATGTTAAGTGAAGGTCTATATAATCATCATTGAACAGTGAAAACCCAGTAAATTTAAATTAGTTGATAGTACAAAATCAACTCGTGTTTTTCATCTCCAAAAAGTCGATTTCATATTATCATCTAATTTTGATCTCTGTAGGACAAAGATATTATTAAAATTTGATGGGATGCAATATTTTTATTCATTTATCTGCATTATTGAATCCCCTATTTTCGCTGTAATTTTCAGAAACCTTGACAAAGTACCAACATGGAAAGACAGAGTGGATGGAAGAACTCTTGTCGTATTGACCGTGGAATGTGTACATGAGACGCGTGGCCTTCCACGAACTGATCAAGTGAAGGTGCTGGCGTGCATCTATCACATACAAAAACATGTGATTAAAATGGTTGGTATTGTTACTACTCTTAAAAAATTATAGGTAGAGACTTTTTGAAGTTTTGATATCATCTTTTAATGATAACACCGTATCCAATAAATTAGGGTTAAAAAAATTGCTTTTGCTGAGTTTCCTGCTGGTTCAGAAGCCCAAGCACTAATTTTGACAGTTCCATAATCATATTGTTATCCGTATCTTACGTAAGATAGACTTCAGAACAAACTGTATTCAAAATTCACTGTACCAAATTTGAACCTCACAATAATTGTATTGTCAATTGTCGGAGGCCCATGCACGAATTTTGACAGATCTGTAATTGTATAGGGCTCAGAAGACCTTGTAACAACTAGACTAAATATATTATTGTAAGTTTTGACTCTGAGTACTCCCAAGCATGCTTTGTCTCAGCTCTTCCTTCTAATATAAATAAAAAGAATAATTTGATAATTTGGAATGAGAACCAATATATATATATATATATTTATGTTTCAGACCTCATCTATACCACCTGAGCTAGTACTGAAACTTTCGTTTATGCCCTTTGAATGGGATGTGGAATCTATGCTGGTAGAATATTGTAAAACATACTGGAACATTCTGGTCGATCGAATCGCTTACATAGAGAGGCTAAAATCAAAGACTTCAATATCAAAGTTACTACCAAAAACTTTAGAAGATATTCTGAAAGTTTTACAAATATATGATTCTGTGCAGTTTTGCACAAATATTCTTACGTTTTTAATAAAAAAACTGCACTTCCTGTACAATGATACGAATACCAAAGAGTTGCAACAGAGTTTCGGTGAGATTTTCAAAGTTTTATCAAGTAAAACAGATCTGGTATCATTCAAGAAGTTAAAACCGAAAGAATTATTAGATGTTTATGTCAAATTTAATGAATGCTTCTATGTGATTGCTGAAAATGCATCACGAGCGAAATTTGAGAATTGTCTGCTCAACGTGGTGGTACGAACAGCTATAACTGTCTTGGGACACAATTATGAAATCATGAGATGTCTAGAGACTTTTTACCTGAACGGTTTTTGCAGTATATTTGATAATCAAACCAATCCGTTGACCATAGAAAATGTTTTGAACAACATGTTGGTTTCATGTACAGATTTAGAAAAACTTGGATATGAGAAAACTATGCACACCACGTATTCATTTCTGAATCAATTCCTAAGAGTTTATCTAGAGTTTACTGTGTCAAATAAAAAATTAGACTGGAATTCCTATTTCAATGAAACTATGCAGATATCTTGTTTGAATCTCATGTTGCATTTGAGCAGCAGAAAGAGCGAGCAATTCCTAAAATGTGACAATTGTACAGTTAAGAGTAGCTTACATGACTCTTTGCGACTTCTGTTTCTTATAAAACACTTTCCTGTTGCTTCTATAAGCCAGAAATTAGACATAACCAATTTATTACCTGTATACTACAAGTTAGTGAATGTTCAACACAAAATATTGTACGAACTCAAGCGATTAGGTTGTGCAAATCACCAAAAGTGCTTTACGAAGCTTCAGACAGACATTCACAATACGGCAATAGCATTGAACAAAGCAAATTACTACGAATACTCTATCAAATTGTTCAAACTGTACATAGAATTTGAGATACATTCCTTAAAAGATGCTAATGAGTTGAGAAATATAAGCAGGGCTTTGTACAATAAAAGTATATGTGAATTAGATAACAAATTGTTTTATGAAGCATTGAAAGATGCATACTTGAGCTTGATATTCTCCTTACCCGAAGGGTTAGGGTCGGAGAAATGCATGAGTCTAGTTATGGATATAAAAGCGAAATCGTTGAAAAGCAATCAGGGAGAAGATGAGATACAGCTAGCGTCTGCATTTGAGATATGTAAAAAGTGTCTTGACGAGAAACTGTATGGTAATTTAAAACCTTTCTTTGTCAACGTTAAGTTTAGTGAAGTTTTGCAACATGAATTTAAGATGTACGCTAAGCTTTGGCCTTCCATTGTGCCGATAGCTGGTGTTTGGGCTTCTCTCTATGATTTGTTAAAGGAAGATCAAAACTGGATTGATGGTACTGAAAATTCAAGATGGACTCTATTTGAAGTAATGTTTGAGACGGTCACCATTGTAAGGACTGTTCACAGCGAACATTATACCCGTATTGTGGACAAGTTGCTAGATTGGTTTGCGAGTGAGCATGACGGAAGCGTAGAAACTAAATTTGTTCATGCAGCTATCCTCTTCTTGCGCTGCGAATATGATTTGGCTGAAGCCAGTCAGAAATATGAGTGGAAATCGGCGGAACCGGTAAGTGTTTTTTGTGTTGCCACATTTATTTAACTCGTGTCATTAAAGAAAGGGATCGCAAATGAGGACGCAAGACAGTCTGTCCCTAATAAGAAACTTGTCTGTCATAAAGCTGTGATCTTTAATGTCGTTAATAATTACTAGATTATTTTTTTTTCCTAGAAAAAAATAATTATAAATAACACTAGAGAAAATTCGACACGGCCATTAGGGCCGTGTTGGCACAATGGTCAGTGCAATCACCCCTACAGCTGCCTGGTCCGCGTGGATTTTTTTCTAGTAAATTTTTCTTTAGACTAAGGCCCATTATAGAAAGATTCTCAGTGATTGATCTAGTCTTGAGCATAGTTAGAAAGGGATGTCGCCATATATAGCACATAGCGACATCCCTTTCTAACTGTACTCAAGTAAAGATCAACACTTAGTTGTCAGTAATACGGGTTACGGGCTGAAAACACCTAGAAGTTAAATGCTTGAAAAAAAATAGTTAAAATGTAACTTCCGTTAATCTTTTAACCATTGTTTTTAGAGTATGGACCCCGATCAGGTGCAAGCTATTAGAACCATACCACAGGAACATGAAGCTACCAAAAAAGCTATAGCAGCTGTTCATATACTCAGTCAAGCTGTCAAACATATTGAGACAGGTAACGAAATGAAATTAATTAGCTTCTTATAGTTCTGTACCCTTAGCACGAACCAATATCGAATTCGAATAGTTTGCGAGAGCGAAATGTCATTGTTTGCGAACAGAATCGACTGTCAGTACATGCGTCATTGTTGCATGGTTCATGTACTGACTAATAGTAAATATTTTATTTCTTTTCTTTAATTAAATATTATTAATGTGAAAAGATTGACTTGTTATATTCATTTATTTATTAATAGTTAATTAATATAATTATAAGTTTTTTTTTGTAAATTAATTCAATGTTAATTTATTGTTTGATTTTGTATGGTTCCTATGGGCTGCTGTTGTCCGAAATAAATAATTTTTATTTATTATTTTAGTTGCTGTCAAATGTGTACTGAATTTTTGTCCGTTCAAGTTTCCATACAAAATTTGACAATGACATTTCGCACTCGCAAACTATTCGAATTCGATATTGGTTCGTGCTACGGGTACTGATGTGATTTTTTTTTACTCCGTGCCTTCCGAAGCACGGAGGAGCTGAAAGAGTAAATTTTTGGTCACCCATCCAATGACCGACCACTGCGAAAGTTGCTTAACTTCAACGATCGCAGCCGAACGCGCTAACCACCTGCGCCATCGCTGTATGGCCTGTTATTTTTGATTGTTGAGCAAATGTGTTGCAAAATATTTATTTATTTATTTTTTCCTCTCGCAGTTGGTAAACCTGGATGGCTTCACTCCTGTCTACAATTATACCAAGTGTTCGTGTATCAGTTATTGCATCTCGCTCGCACAATACCCGCCTTGCATCTGGCCCACGTGTGCTGTATAATAGCCAAACACATAGATGATAGGTAACGTATTCACAATAGTATAAAGCCACACTCGAGCCGTTACCGCCAAATTATCGTAAGCGACACTTTTGTCGAAATGTGTTTTATGTGGAAACTAAGGGTGCGGCCAGAGTGCACTCAGATTCAGATTCAGACTCAGAAAACAAAGCGCGAGAAAAAGCAGGCAACCTGCTTAGACTACACTGTTTATTTCTCGCGCTTGTTTTCAGAATCTGAATCTGAATCTGAATCAGGAGTGCACTCTGGCCGCACCCTAATATTTTAAACCGTAACGGACCCATCTCTGTTGATATTTCCCTCCAAAAGAATACCGTTATAATATAACGGAAGGAAGGTTAGAGGGAAATATCAACAGAGATGGGTCCGTTACGGTTTAAAATATTAGTTTTCACAAAAAACGCATTTCGACAAAAGTGTCGCTTACGATAATTTGGCGGTAACGGCTCGACATTATGTTTATACAAACTTTTTGAAGTGAAAACTTCTTTAGCGGCGTTGTACACTTTTTTTTGTATGGGTAAAAGCCTGTGCGAAAGCCCGTTCGGCATGTAATGCTGCTTCATCCCAGGTTTTTCCATGTACAAGGATGGCTGTGTCGTCAGCGTAGGAGAAGATATGTCAATTTGGGATGGAATTTTGACAAAGGTCGTTAACATAGACGAGAAAGAGGGTAGGCCCAAGAATACTACCCTGGGGAACGCCGCAGTCTATAGAAACGTCATCACTTAAGTATGTGTCAATACGAACGCACTGCTTTCTATCCGACAGATAATCTGAGAATATATTTAAAGTAGATCCCCGCACACCAAGACACTCCAGTTTCTTTATAAGTATGGGAATGGATGGAATGAATATAAACATTGCAGAGATATATTGATTTGAAAAGTCGCATGACGTCACGTTTGAGTACACTTAGAAGTGAAAATTCACTCAAAAGTGACGTCACGAGCCCCTACTCCCAAACTTTGACGCGCTATAACTTTGTCATTTTTTGGTTGATTGCCCAAAGAAAAAATACGTGTCCATTATTTTTTGATCATCTAACTGACGGACTAAATAAGAATTTCGTTTACTGTACCCCGTCATCACCCCTATTGTTTTAATGAGCTCGCACTCGTACTAGGGGTACTGATTTTATTGTTTTCGTTTCAATACAAATAAACAGTGTTTAAATTCTATCATTTAATCATTTGCGTCTTCTTAAATTCATATACATAGAATTTAAGTTTGGTTAGTTTTCACCAAAATGTACATAGAAACATAATTTACAATAGGGTATTTGACAAGTTTTAGAAAACCATCTCACGTTATTAACTTATGTTTATAGAGTCTATAAAAAGAAGGATATTCATCATTATGTTGTGTATTAAATTATTATTCGGTAAAAAAACCAAATCAAAAACTCTATTTTCAAGTTCCCGCAAAAAACGTATCTCTGGACAATATGGCGTCTCACTGGTGTGTGACGTCACACGACTGTCATTAAAACGTCAAACCATACAATCAAATGTCATTTTAACCGGAAGTTTACTTGTGTGCGACGTCATTTTAGGCTCCACCAATCCCAAGCGTTTTGGGTCACGTGACAATAGACAAGAAAACTATTATCTTTATCGTGGGTTTTTAGTAAAATTATGAATATCTTTTCTGTAAAAATAGTAAAACCTCCTGCCAATATTCATTCTAAATACAGATGCTAACAATTGGCACTTTATTTTTAATACTGTCAGATACCCTATTACGAAAACTATGATAGTTTTCGTGAGCTCAAACTCGTAGTAAGGGTCAACTCCGTGTCATCGAGGCTTTAGTCTTAAAGGAAATTGAATTAGAGTATAAATATGTAAATGTTTTGTTTCAGTGAATCTTTTGTACGCAATGCGAGTGTATTGCTATCACACGCGAGAACGTCTGGCCCGGAAACGATGCAACTTATAACGGATTGTAGCCACCTTTGGAGTCGAGCAACTCTGCAGACCGCAATTTGCTTCATGTGTGACGCTGCTGTAAGTATTATTTTAATTTGTCTACGATTTTCAGGTTTTGGGTAAGTTCCTGATTGTATTTCTTCATCAGCTTAATGTCCCCACTGCTGGGGCACAGGCCTTCCCTAGGGATATAATAGGGAGATTGGGCCATGACCCACCACGCGGGCCCAGTGCGGATTGGCGGGTGCTAACGACTGCAGATGCAGCCGGGACCAACGGCTTACCGTGCCTTCCGAAGCACGTAGGAGCTCGAAATAGTAATTTTTGGTCACCCATCCAATGACCGACCACTGCGAAAGTTGCTTAACTTCAACGATCGCAGCCGAATGCGTTAACCACTTGCGCCATCAAGCTCCTCATTGTCAAATCAAGGGCGTCGCCAGCTTATGACTAAGGGGGGGGGGGGGGGCAATGGGTCAATATTATAGGTAAGGAAGTCAATTGCTCGCACTTTCGTCGCTTTGGTCGCTTCGACGCCCTTGTGTCAAATACTGTTTATAAACAGCGTTTTTACTAGAGATTCACCGAATGTGGGTTCAACTGAATACAAATGTTCGGCAGAATATTCGGTTCAAAATGTACCGAACCGTATCATTCGGCCGAATCATTCGGTTCAAATTTGCGCGGCAAACAAGTTTATACAAGTCCGTGCTGTACTCTACAAGAGCCGGTGCGTTCTAATCTCTTATCTATTAGACAAGTCCGTCTGTCTGTGGTGCTGTTTCAGCGGCCAAACCGTAAGAGATAGATAAAGAGAATATTTAAGTTATAAGTTAAGAATAGTCTGATAAGACTACAAACCGGATTTGAGTAACTTAGCTCTTCCGGTTTTCGAGAAATCAGGTTTTGGTGAACATTTGGTTCATTGGTTTGCTAGTTATAATTATAAATATTTAATTGATGATTATTACTAAATAAGACTTACCATTTTTTCTGATCTCTTAATGGTAATTTTAGTAAAGTATGTAAGGATCGTAGCAAATGGAAAGAAGTAATCTCTGCCTACCCCTGTGGGAGAAAGGCGTGACTTTATGTATGTATTCATATATAAAAACTGGGTACCAACAGTTCTCACAATGAACCATACCTATTTAATGCACAAAATTATTATGGAAGGAGAACCCGGGAGTATTTAGTTCCACGAATATTCAATAGCTTGGACACGGTAATAATATCATACAGTATTCTATCTTCATACAAACGGTCGGAAAGCGAGTCATACCTACGCCACTCGAGTTCGAGGGGCTCTCGGCGGGCACCCAGTCGCGAATGCGCCGCCGCCGCAACGACGACCGAACGATCTGAATTGTTTTTTGAAGTTATACTTCTTTAGCCGCGTTATGAAAAAATGATGAGAGTGAAATTTTAAGACGCGCGCGCATCACTGTAACACAAAAGTCGCTAAAGCGACCAACTTCATGCTGTTACTTTTGTGTTTAACGCATATTAAGAAAATCTACCAACAAAATAGAATCTCTATTTAGTGGGTGCTAACGACTGCATTGTGAAGGCCTATCAAAAGTATTTATTAATCTGGAACAACGGAACCAAAGCGCGATTCAGGAGACTACAGCGCCATCTCTTGACCATTGGTGTAGTAGAACCAAAAACCACATCTTTATTTTTTGTAATAAAGTAACAGTTATAGGTATTCATATTTATCCACATGTTTCTAGTTTGTATATTCGGAATACGTGTTTGAGTTTCATACAAGTGCAAATCACATATGTTCTAATAAATTATATTCAGTAGCGATTTTAATTGAATATATTGATCATTTATTTATTTTTTCAAATTAAAACTGAACTTTATTGACTGTGTCCTTTTCCAGACTTTTTATAAATTTATTATATTTAATTATTTGCATGCAATTAAAAACTAATTTTAAACGATGCGAAAGAAGGATAACTTCTCACGCGCCCATTTTTTTTTATGCAGTTAGCCGTGCTTAAACGTGCGTTTTGTATTGTAAATATTTGATTTAATTAAGTAGATACCTACATAATTTAGTATGGAAAAGAACAAACGACGATCAATATCATACAACAGCACAATTGCTGTTTTTGGTTGCTTGAACTCTTCAATGAATGAATGAATGAAAAATGATAGCTCTGGGTGTGTTACCCAGAGCTATCATTTTTTAAATTACCTGAAATATTGGAAAGGTGTCTTACCTTTATAGAATATTTTTTATATACCTATTACTAGTACGTTATTTGTTTCTAATATTTAGGTATTTCGGTTTTTCTATCGGGCAAAATATCTGGAATAAAATATAAATAAGTGGTTAGGATGAAATAAGAGACAAACGAGTAATCTACCTACACTCGCGTTAAAAACGAAACTACATAAAATACTGTAGGCTGGCGGCCCTACCGCGTGCCAACGCAGAGCTCGGCCGTAGGCATTTATTTTCAAGGACAGGGCGGAGACACAATACTGTAAAGATAATATTACCGTGGCTTGGATATGGAGGAGTGTACTAGCGTATTAGGTTTCAAATGTAAAGTAAAACAAATCCTGTTAGAAAAATTTGATGAGCAAATCACAACTGTTTATTAACATACATTTTGAATGAAGCATGTACTCTATCACTCTTGTTACTCACGGTTCCCAACTTAGGGGTTTTGCCCCCAGATTTAGGGGCTAGAAGTGATAAAACGGACTTTTTTAGGGGCTAGAATTTTTTGGGGGTTCTTTTAGGGGCTTTTATCAAAACTTGCAATTAAATCGAAAAACAAAGCGTGTGTTTTCTTTCAGTTTTGTGCGTAGAATGGAACGCACCACGATATGAAACGACTGAATTGACTGTGTGGCGGGTTGTTTCCTAAGGCTTTATGGACTAAAGTTAAAAAAACAGCTAAATAAGATTTAACAGTCTATCAGCTCATTTTGTTTGATTGTCCTTTCGGCAACTGTATTTATTCAATAAAATAATTTATTGTAACTTAAGTTTTAATTTATGAGCAATGAAAGAATTTGGGTAATAAGAAGGTACTTAAAAAAATGTATATTTAGGGGATTTTAGGGGAATATAAAAAAATCTTAGGGGTAAATTTAGGTAAGGGTGGGTAACACTGTTGTTACTTTAAACAAATTATAATTCATTTATTTTATGTTAGGATAGGAGTATATGTAATAAATGTCCAAACTAAATTAGATAAAAATATAGGCATTGTTTTTGCAGAAATATTTAAATTGATTTATGATTAAAAATGAGTGCATTTTTCGCCAATAAACTGTTAATCAGTTTGGCGGAATTATAAAGTGTAGTTAATAGTATTATAGTATTGTTGATAAATAAATTAAAAAAAAATTAAACTTAATTATGAAAGGAAAACATTGTTTTGAAATAATAATAATAATTTAATTTATTTGTTTCTTAGGTTTTCACGCACATCACTCATTAAATAAAACTAGTTTTTACGGGTTAATGCACGAAAACTTTATTTATTTATTGACGTTTCGCAGCCTTTTCAGGTCTGCATCGTCAGAATAATGATTTTATTTAAAATTGTCGAGCTACCTTCGAAAGAATTATATTGAGCGTTCGGTTATTTCATTGGAAGATTTTTAAAATTTTATTGTCTATGTATGAATTTATTATTTAATTTACTTAATAAAGTATTTTATTTAAAATTCTTGTTTGTAATTTTGAGTTTATTTATATGACCCTAACTACCGTAAACTACCTACCACCGGTTCCAAAATTGGGAGACCTTCCTGAGAAGAACCGGCGAAACAAACTCAAGAGAGGCTTTCTATCTCCTTCTTATGTTAAATTATGCAAACAAAAAGAACTAATAGTATCTGATGGGAATATAATTTTTTCGAAGGTAGCTCGACAATTTTAAATAAAATCATTATTCTGACGATGCAGACCTGAAAAGGCTGCGAAACGTCAATAAATAAATAAAGTTTTCGTGCATTAACCCGTAAAAACTAGTTTTATTTAATGATTTAATTATTCGGTAATCATTTGGCACATGAACCGAATATTCGGCCGAATACGCACTTTAAAAACTATGCCGAATGTACCGAATACGAATATTCGGCGCATTTCTAGTTTTTACACAAATGTTGCCTAATGAATACGCAGCTTTACCCTCCAACTTTCATGCTCGTCGGGAAGAGCTTCGCACGCATTCCACACACACACACACACAGACACATACATTGACTCAGTATTTTTACTACAGATTTATTTGAGTAAAACCGGTTCCATCGGCGCCGCAGCGAGACTAGTGCAAATGGCCCAAGCTAAGATATTAGAAAATCACAATTCCAACCAGCCTGTCACATGTGAGTATATTATTAGTATAATATTTACTATGCGGTGGCGTAGACTTAAAAAACGAGTAGGGTAGATTAAGGTAGGAGAGGGTAGAACAAGGTAGAGCAGGGTAGGAGAGTGTAGACGTGGTCGAACACGCTCATATGAGTGAAATATTTCAATATTTATTTCTGGAATAAATATATTATATATCGCTTTAGCTTCGACGCTATTAAAAACCATACATGCACCACTTTCAATCAAAATGTGCGCCAATCAAACATTGAAAAGAATAAAAATTACTTATAGTACGTAGTGTCGTTTCTTCTATAGCTATCTAATCAATGCTTTGCCGCCTGCTGGCTACCGCACCTCTGACGCGAACAATACACACGCTCAATGTAGTTGCCGAGTCTATCGATTTGTTCACCTGTTCGATTGGCGAGTTTACGAAAGTAACTTTAAAAGTGTTGTGCTATAAATAACATTATTGACTTTTTACTGGAATATATTTTTATTTATTTTGAGAAATGTATTATGAATTTTAGATTTTATGGACAAATTTTATTGACAATATTTGTAATGCATTCTAAATTGAAGTTATTTTTATTTTTATAGATTTTTAATTGACATTTGTTTACATTGACATTGTTTTTTCTTTTATTTATTTTTATTGCAATTTATTGACATTTATATATAATTTACAACATTGAAATAATATTGTTAATAATTAATGTAATTTTATAAGAATTTATAGTTAGCTTGAAAGGACGACTACACTATTGAATTAGGTATATACCTGTTATAATGGTGTAATGTATTTTGAATAATAAATAAAAAATAAAAAATGTTTGGTAATCTAAGAGTGTGTCTTCCCTGACATCTGGAAAATTGCTGTGGTTAAGCCCATACCCAAAATTGACAACCCAGTCACCGTGAACCACCTGCGACCTATAAGCCTGCTCCCCTTTGTCTCTAAGGTTTTGGAGAAAGGGAACGGGACTCGAACCCGCACCCTTCGCAATCCGGGCGAATGCACTGACCATTATGCTACCACGGCCCTATTAGCCGCGTCGAAACTTTCCTAGCCTTAAGCTGCAAGGCAGCGCCATCTCTTCGCATTGTAGGTAACCCACAATGTCAATTCAATACTTTTACAAGTATTAAACATTTGAAAGAAGAAATAGCAATTATAGTTTGGTATTGCTCGATTTTTCGCGAGCATTTGACTCCATAGATATAAATCTCTTGCTTTCCAAGCTGGCTTATTATGGAGTAAATGCCCACTCAATAAAATGCTTATTATAAACTGATTTAATAGAAAATATTTGTGATATTCAAATGCATGGTCGGTAATATAGCCGTCTCATTTCTTCGCGGTCCGTACCTGCTGTATTGCTTACAGAGCATTCAGAATTATGCGTAGAGTCAAAGAAATAAAGTCTATATTCTTCCGCATATAGCAAAAAGTCATGAAATTTTACGAGCTTTTATTTCGAACTGCCGTTACTCATTGAAACGCATGCGCGTTGAAATTAAGACCTTATTAACTACGCATCAAAGGTCATTTTGAATGTTTAAATAACGCCTTTTATTGTTTTGGACTACGCGATCATCTTACGGAGCTCCATGAGTCGTCCAATGTACCTTTCGGACAGGTTTCGGCCACGATTTTGTTCGTCATGTCGTATGTTTATTTATGTTAAGAATTTTGTAAATTTTGTTCTATACATTCTAGATTGTGTCGATAAACATTGCCTATTAGTTTTTGCACTTGAGTTAAAATAGGGGTAATGACAGGGTACAGTAAACGAAATTCTATTTAGTCCGTCAGTTAGATGATCAAAAAATAATGGACACGTATTTTTTCTTTGGGCAATCAACCAAAAAATGACAAAGTTATAGCGCGTCAAAGTTTGGGAGTAGGGGCTCGTGATTTCACTTTTGAGTGAATTTTCACTTATAAGTATACTCAAACGTGACGTCAATCGACTATTCAAATCAATATATCTCTGCAATGTTTATATTATGTGAAAAAAGAAAAGATACGTGTCCAATACTTTTTGATAATCTACCTGATAAACGAAGAAAAAAAATTAGTCATCATCCCTATTAAGGGGCTGTTCAAGTATTACGTAAGCACTATAGGGTGGCAGGGGGGTCTCTGCTTTGCTTATTTTTGATGACTTGGGGGGGATGGGGGGTAGAGATGGTGATTACGTCAGCATCATCTATTAAGCCTTTTTAAGTAATGCTGGTCATGAAGCTCATGAAAGCTCATGAATCATTAAAAAAAACAGAATACATAAAAGGAAAAATGCATATAGGTACCAATGTTTACGTGAGGATGGGGGGGAGGGGTAAGAGCTTTACTTACTTTTGCTGACAAGGGGGAGGAGGGGGTAAAATATTGTAATAAATCTGCTTACGTAATACTTGAACGGCCCCTAACTAGAAAATCTTTCAATATTTATTTATGTATTTATATCGTTTCATAGTGGATCTAGCTGTAGGCCGGTTGGCCGAAGCGCAGGCTCAGCTGTGTGGCGGGGTCAACGCCCTCAGCGTGGCCAGCGCGATACAGAGGCACTACCTGACCATAACCAATAATGGTGAGTGCTCTATGCTACATCGATAAGATATTTATAGAACATGCATTAGGGGGACCAAACCATTACATTAGATTTGATAAACCACAGATCCTTGCAGCTGAGAGATTAAAAAATATCCAAATTTCAATAGGGAAGATGGTTGGTATATACCACCAGCTTGGGAGCCTATTATACAGGAGATAAAATCCCAACCCCGAGCACACTCTGCAAGACCATCAGATACTATTAGTTCTTTTTGTTTGCATAATTTAACATAAGAAGGAGATAGAAAGCCTCTCTTGAGTTAGTTTCGCCGGTTCTTCTCAGAAAGGTCTCCCAATTTTGGAACCGGTGGTAGTTTACGGTAGTTAGGGTCAAATAAATAAACTCAAAATTACAAAAAATAATATTAAATAAAATACTTTATTAAGTAAATGAAATAATAAATTCATACATAGACAATAAAACTTAAAAAATCGAACAATGAAATAACCGAACGCTCAATAAAAGCCTTTCGAAGGTAGCTCGACAAATTAAATAAAAGTTTTATTCTGACGACGAAGCCTGTAAAGGCTACGAAACGTCATAAATAAATAAAGTTTCGTGCATTAACCCGTAAAAACTAGTTTTATTTAATGTGTGATGTGCGTGAAAACCTAAGAAACAAATTAGAAATTTATAGTTCAAGCGGCACATATTTACAAAAAAATCAAGATGAATAAGTACACCGTGGTTGGTTGAAAAGTACGGTTTGCAAAAAAACCTCGGAACCCCTTTTTTAGCACTCTGCTAATTCTAGAATAAAAACCAAACATTTGTAAACAAACAATAACAAATATTGATAATTAATATTGGTTGATATTTTTTTTCATGGCTATAATTTTTATTATTTTAAAGCATGTAACTGCTTGATGTTTAAATCTAAAGAAAATATAACTAGAAAAACATCAACGCGGACCAGGCAGCAGACGGGACTCGAACCCGCACCCTTCGCAATCCGGGCGAATGCACTGACCAGTTATGCTACCGCGGCCCTCACGGACCGCGTCGAAATTCTTCTAGCCATTCTTAAGCTGCAAGGCAGGGGCCATCTCTTCGCATTATAGGTAACCCACGGACGCGGTCCGTGAGGGCCGCGGTAGCATAATTGGTCAGTGCATTCGCCCGGATTGCGAAGGGTGCGGGTTCGAGTCCCGTCTGCTGCCTGGTCCGCGTTGATGTTTTTCTAGTTATATTTTCTTTAGATTTTCTTTCATTTCTTGAGCTTTGGCTATGAATGGTTGATAGGTTATATATTAAAGCCGTCAACCAAATGTCACTTTAAGTTCAGTTCATCATCCCTATTATTTCATTTCAGAATGATCAATTTTATTTATCTATATGTAATATGTTAAATCCAACTGCAAGTTAATTTTAAAACAAATATTTACAGCTCATCACCAACCTCAATAAATAATTACTTTTTGATTATTTCTGTTTTTTTTTTCTAATTAAATCATTAATTAAAAAGCAGGTTTGTAGTAGGTTTAATAGTATGACGATTTTTCTTTATTTCTAGAAACAAAATGGACGTCCCGTCGCATTTTGGCTCTCATATTAAAAATGCTCATATGTACATCTAGTATGAGCACGACCAGCGTATGCCGTTCTCTGTTGCTATGGCGACGAGCGAGGTAATTATCAAGATTTTTTTATAATTATAATAGCTAATGTTTACCCGTTTTTGTATCCGTTTTTCTATATGTTATTGCTATGTATTCTGTCCGTTACTCTAGTATCTCAATTTATTGTATCCGTTACCCTAGTATCCCGTAACACAAGCCTTACAGTGCCAATTTGGGGCTAATCTCATTGGTGTCAATATTTTTGAAGTGAAAACTTCTTTAGCGGCGTTGCACTCTTTTTTTGTAATGGATAAAAACTGTTAAACTCGCGTCAGGACACGTGGGCTGATCGCATCACAGGCCACGTGTCCTGATCGTAAGACGAAAGTAATAAAATTTGAAAGGTTGTTGACTTTCAATATATTGGACGAAACATAGTAATATTTTATTTTACCGTATTATAATAATAAGTCTGTATCTAGGACGTCCAGGTGGCAGCTTTATTGCGAAGTAAATGCATTTTTTTACAATAGATGTCGCTAGGTGCGCTTAAATGAGAAATTCTGAGAGATAAACTTTTTGATGTAATATAAATTGTCATGTTTGTGTACGATAGCGCAATAAATAAATATTGTATTCTACCACATAAATGATAGTACTTTTATACTGATAATTAAAGCAATTCGTGCAAAATTATTCCCTAACCATTCCAAAATATCAAAAATGCACAACGTTAATATTCAAGTTTTTACTTCTACCGGCACTCCCGAAGTGCAACCCGTCGTTTTTTGAAGTTATACTTCTTTAGGCGCGTTATGAAAAAATGATGAGAGTGAAATTTTAAGATGCGCGCGCATTACTGTAACACAAAAATTTAACAGCATGAAGTTGGTCGCTTTAGCGACCAACTTCATGCGTTACTTTTGTGTTTACCGCACATTAAGAAAATCTACCAACAAAATAGAAATAGAATCTCTATTTAGTGGGTGCTAACGACTGCATTGTGAAGGCCTATCAAAAGTATTTATTAATCTGGAACAACGGAACCAAAGCGCGATGCAGGAGACTACAGCGCCATCTCTTGACCATTGGTGTAGTAGAACCAAAAACCACATATTTATTTTTTGTAATAAAGTAACAGTTATAGGTATTCATATTAATAATATTTATCCACATGTTTCTAGTTTGTATATTCGGAATACGTGTTTGAGTTTCATACAAGTGCAAATCACATATGTTCTAATAAATTATATTCAGTAGCGATTTTAATTGAATATTTTGATTATTTATTTAATTTTTCAAATTAAAACTGAACTTTATTGACTGTGTCCTTTTCCAGACTTTTTATTTTTATTTATTTCCAACTTACACCAATTAGCCTAGCCCCAAAGTAAGCACTTTAAGCTTGTGTTATGGGATACTAGGGTAACGGATAGAATACATATATTGATACATATATAAGTATATTTACATAGAATTACATATTAAACATCCAAGACTGGAGTACAAATGCTCTTATTCATCACACAAAAATCTGCCCCCACCGGGATTCGAACGCGGAACCTCTCGAGTCGGCAACACCATGAAACCCAGCGTATATATACGGCCACGGAGGTCGTCATATATTTAGTTTTATTCTCGTCTAGCTTATTAATATTGTGATTATATTTGTTTTATATACAGATGCGCTTGCGCAGCCTGTCTCCCAGTGGCTTCAGCCGTAATCCAAGCGAGACTCTACTCCTCCATCACTAACGTTCACAAAACGGATGATGCACAGGTTAGTACCATCATTTAAATCTCAGATTAAGAATACTCTTATAAATAAGGGCTATTATAAAGTTAATGATTATCTAAATGATCGAAATGCATGGACATAGTGTTTTTTGTAATTTGTTATTTGATGGGTATTAGTCAGTTTTTGTAACAGTTATATGGTACCTATCTAATGCCGCTTCCTATATACTAAATATAAAATTTATTGTAACTATATATCTATATCCTAAATAATGTAATGGAAGGTGACTTCAGAAGTATCTCTGAAGTCATTTTTCAACTTGACGACTCTGTATATATCAATACAGGGAGAAAAAAGCAGCCCTTGCTGAGTTTCTTGCCGGTTCTTCTCAGTACAAGGTCTCCCGCCGTAGTTTTACGAACCGATGGCGTAGCTTCTAGACATTCACAAGTGCTTGTAACAGCCTAGACTGAATAAATGACATTTCATTTCATTTTCATCATCAGCCTCAGTGATAGTATCGATAGTATTTCACTCATCCGATAGTATTGGCTTGTTCTGTGCTATCGATAGTATCGATACTATCGATAAGCCGATCGATTGTCATACAATTGGTCGGCTATCGATAGACTATCGATTAATCCTCGATAGTCGACTATCGATCGGCAACACTAATCTCCAACAATGGCCGCCAAAACATGGCTCCAAATCCCTGTTTGTAGAAGGGGCGTATTTCTGCCATCCATACACGGCAAAGTATTTACATATAGAATAGATATAAAGAAATAGATGCAGAAACTATTTAAGATTGATTTAAGACATAAATGAAGACAATAGGTTCAGTAGAACTAGAAATATCACAGTTTTTGTGAAGCGCGGGAACCAAAAGGGCTTGGCGGCCATTTTGCTTACACAGACCACTAGATATAAAGTTTTACCGCTTTTTCTACCATCTTCAAGTTTTATTTTCCATGTAAATAAAATAAATAAATGTTTTCAACACTCACACCAATTAGCCTAGCCCCAAAGTAAGCACTGTAAGGCTTGTGTTATGGGATACTAGGGTAACGGATAGAATACGTATACAGTACATATATATAAGTATATTTATATAGAGTTATATATTAAACATCCATGACTGGAGTGCAAATACTCGTATTCATCACACAAACATCTGCCCCGACCGGGATTCGAACCCGGGACCTCTCGAGTCGGTGACACCATGAAACCCGGCGTACAAACCACTCGGCCACGGACGTCGTCTAAATGAAGGCCACGGATGTAAAAAGTAGCATATTTCCTTCTCTAAAGCCTCCTTCATCTCTATATCAAAATTCATCTAAATCGGCCCAGCTTTTAGGTGTGATAGCTTTTATAGTATTGATTACACATTTAAGACAACAGCTTGTATTTTATCGAATACAAACCTCTCCTGACAAACCATCATCTTAAGTCCTTCATCCACCCATCATATTCATCACCGTCCATCATCCACCAGCGCCATCTAAGTCCAAAAACTTGTCTTTTTATGATCAACTAACGACGACTTTGACGACCTCCGTGGCCGAGTGGTTTGTACGCCAGTTCATGGTGTCGCCGACTCGAGAGGTCCCGGGTTCGAATCCCGGTGGGGGCAGATGTTTGTGTGATGAACACGAGCATTTGTACTCCAGTCATGGATGTTTAATATGTATTTCTATAAAAATATACATATTTACTAGCTGACCCAGCGAACTTCGTACCGCTCTAAAAAAATAGGGGTTGTCCAGCGGACAAAATTGTGAATCTAAACCATTCTCAGATCCCCTTGAACACACACAAAAAATTTCATCAAAATCGGTCCAGTCGTTTAAGAGAAGTTCAGTGACATACACACTCACAGAAGAATTATATATATAAAGATGTACAGCATATGTATTCTTTCCGTTACCCTAGTATCCCATAACACAAGCCTTATAGTGCTTACTTTGGGGCTAGGCCAATTGGAGTGAGTGTTGGAAATATTTACTATTATTATTATAAACTAAAATTCCTTTTTATTTACAGACTAAAATAGACAACAGACTCAAACACATACTAGGCTTACAGCCCTCAAACGAGACTCAGTTATACAAAACAGAGCCATCGAAACCCGAGCTCTTTACACCCAGACACGAAAACTTGGAGACCATGTTAGAAGACCACGTCTTCAAGAAAACCCAGATCAGTCCGTCTTTGCCTTGCACCTCAGTCTACGGTTACAAAATGCCCGACTTTCTGAAACACGACAATTGCCAATGTTCTTTATGTGACAATCCGAACAGTTTCCTCATAGCCTGCACGTCTTTCGGTCTAGAATCTTCTATGTACTACAGAGCGAAAGAGATGGACATAGCCCGAAACTACTTCGAAGGCACCATAAGAAGTTTCGGTTACGCCGAAAGCAAGTTGCGCTCTTATTTCAATAGGTGCAGAGGCGAGAATCCCTTGTACATTGTCGATATGGTGGAAAATATCGTTTATGAAGACTTCAAGAGCGTACAAATCGAAATCCTTATAGAAGCCGCATTCTTTGAACTGTCCAAGAAAGCTTTTGAAAGAGCAGACGACCATATAGTCAGAGTACATGAAATCCTACAGGATATGTCGTCACCGAGTGCTTACTTGCGCAATGACGTCATGAATCTGATGACTGCGTCCGCGCAGATAAGAAAAGCGGCCGTGAAACCGGTGGAAACTGGCTTAGAAATAGAAATGGAGTCTTTGAAACTGTCTCCAGGCAAGGAACCTCCCAAAACTCCGGTTAACAAAGCGAAGATACCACCGGTTTTAACTAAAAACCTGGTTAAGGACGAAGATCTGCCTGCGGTTAAACGCAAAGTGATAAAACTCAACTTGGACGAAGGACAAGAGGAGAAAGAGACCAAAAGACCTGTCAGAAAGAGAGGGGAATTCAAAATACCTGTTCCGGTTACGAAGAAACCTGTTCTAGAAAGTATAACGCCTAGACCGACTCGATCTAAACCCGAAATATTGATAACTAAACCGAGCGAAGACGTCAAAATGACGCCAAAAGTCGATAGCACTGAGTTTTTCACACCAAAGTCGACTCCGGCCGAAGAGTTCTTCACACCGATGTCGACATTGAAAACTTATTCGAAAAAATCTTTAAGAACAAACATAGTGAAAAATCTTGAAGCGGAATTTTCGACGCCTAAAACTGACAAGGAAAATTCGACTCTAAACGCTGAAACTAATCTCTTAGACGTACCGACTACAACAGGGAGAGCTGTAAGGTCGAAAATCGATAAGAAAGTTTTGAAACGAGCTACCAGTCCAGGAAAATTGGTTAAAGAGGTGAAACCTACCAGGTCTCGGCTTAGGAACCCTGTCAGCTTCAAAGTGCACGAAGACAAAGGAAAATGAGCTTTATTTGTTAGGTGGTAAAAACTAATTTGGATTTGTAACATTATGACTGATTTTGGGGCCAAAATGAATTCTATGTAGATTAGTTAAAAACATTAAAATAAAATTATTACAAAGATTTCTTTGCTTTGTTTAATTCTGTAAAACTTTTTAGCGGAAGATTAAAAAATAAATTAATTAAAAAAAAATTAATTATAAATTTATTTTGAAGAAAAGTTTTACTAGAACCACGCGGGCTACCTACAATGCGAAGAGATGGCGCTGCCTTGCAGCTTAAGGCTAGGAGAATTTCGACGCGGCCATCAGAGCCGTGGTAGCATAATTGGTCAGTGCATTCGCCCGGATTGCGAAGGGTGCGGGTTTGAGTCCCGTCCGCTGCCTGGTCCGCGTACATTTTTTTCTAGTAAAACTTTTCCTTAGATTTGAACATCTATCAGTGAAATGCTTAAAAAAATAAAAACATAAATTTATTTTGTTTTAAAAATCTTGATACTTAATTTTTGCTACCCAAGACTTTTCATAAAAACTATACTTTCGCTCTATTTAGCCTGTTTTTCTTGTATTTTTGTATTCTTCTTTGGAAACACGAAATTTGTAAATATGCATCACTTATTTACTTATTTTATCACAGTGACTTATATAATCTGGTATTATGTCAATGGCAAAACTAATAATATTAATGTTCAATAAATTGAAATATTTCCATAAACACGGTTTTTTTCTATATAATTGAGATAATGGTGTCGATTCTGGCATGATTCTTTTCACTCAAAATTAAATTTGACAACAGTGTATCCTTGTCATTCTCTATGCAGAATGAAAAGGAGAGGCTGATGTTAAATTTAGTTATAAGTTAATAAATGAATAAATATTTCCAACACTCACACCAATTAGCCTAGCCCCAAAGTAAGCACTATAAGGCTTGTGTTATGGGATACTAGGGTAACGGATAGAATACATAATACTGGTGCATATATATGTCGGCGGATGGCGTCTCACTCGCTCCTTCGAAACGTTAAACCGACAACAAATGTCATCAGTCAAGAGTACCATTGCCTTGTGAAACGTCAAGCAATGACAGTGACAGCTGTCATCACTTGGGAGTGGTCTATGCTAAGGGTAGTATTTAAGGGGCTATGCGTCATTGGAAAGGGCATTCGGCATTCAGACGTGAGCCGCTATAGTGAACGGACGTTAGCACAGAACTCTCCGCGCTTCACAAAGCAATCCGTTTGTACCTTAGCAATCATAACTGATTTTGTAAAGTAATAAGAAGATTCAAATTAAACGTTAGCTTGGTCACTAGACTACAGTTTTATTTTCGGGAAATATCATTGAATAATCAAGATGGCGGATCAAGAAAAACCACGTGGCCAACCGCCTATATCCCGCTCGCCCATCCGACATATATATAAATACTAGCTGACCCGGCGAATTTCGTACCGCCATAAAAAAGGGGCAGGTAGTAGAAGAGAATATTTTGGGTTGTATGTATTTTTGAATACCACACTATGAAAAATAAATATTGTCCACAAAAAATTTTAGGGCTGTGTAATGTAGTGTTCTATCAATTTCCTGGAATAACATTTCTCCTAACCCATATGAGAACACTACGTTATAATACCCAATAGTTGGCTCGAAGGCGCATGTAGGTTTCAGAACACTACGTTACAGGTGGCTTAAGGATATGAAAAATAGATAGTAGCCGATTCTCAGACCCACGGAATATGCATATAAAATTTCATAAAGATCGGTCAGGCCGTTTCAGAGGAGTATGGTAACTAACATTGTGACACGAGAGTTTTATATTTAAGATAATAAAAAAATTGTGTGTGTCAGCTCCGACGCACGACTGGAGTTTACTCCTTAAGTTCGATAGTCTAACCAGACGCAAAAAGAGTTTATTTAACTTAAAAAATATTGATACTGTATGAAAGGGTAAATTAACAAATTAATGAAAATTAAACATTTATTATAACTAATCGACGAAATATTTTACATTAAACTTTTTACAATAGTCAATTTCAGATGTGCATAAATATATCATTAGGAATGTTGATAAATTATGTAATTATTATTATCAGACTATTATCATTTTTTTAAATATTAATTAAATCAAAGTGGTTTATGGTAACTAAAATAAGACACATGGACGTTCGTAGATACGTGGTTCACGAATCTTGAAAATACCGCATCAATATTTGTACCATACCTCGTTGTCCCCATTGCTCTATCAGAAACAATATCTAAATTCAGTTCAGATTTTAAAAATTTTGTTAATGTCAATCCGTCATCTTTGTTTGTCAAAGTTGCGCGACATAGGATGCGCACCAAAAACGTAACGAAGCCATTCATCGATAGATTTTACTCCTCACATTTTTCTCATACCGGGTCCCTTATATATCTTAAGGAGTAAACTCCAATAAAAAATGCTTTTATTTCAAGACATGGTCTCATATATGTTAGTAACATTATTTCTTAACCTATATAGTATAGTTATATAGAAATATATAATAAACATCCATGACTGGAGTACAAATGCTCGTAATCATCACGAAAACATCTGCCCACCCCACACCGTGACTCGAACCCGGGACCTTTCGATTAGGCGACACCTTGAAACCCGGCGTACAAACCATTCGGCCACGGAATTCGTCCTTTAAGTCAGGAATTCAAAAATTTCTCATAGTAACCCTATTCAAGTTATTATTTCGACAGTGAAAAGGGTGAATGACCCTTGATTTATGGATGGATCGAGTCTAAAAGATATATACCAACGCTATAAAATACAACAATACAATGAAATGTACCCTGAACCCTTTTCAGAATTCATGAACACGATCCGAACATCAAGTAAATGGAATAACCGAATGAACGCAAGAGTATGTTTGCGAAAAGAAAATGGTAACGCCTGATTCTATTTTGCGAGCAATGTTGAGTTTCGTGGATTGAGTTAAACATTCGAAGGCGCTTGCTATATAGGTACACTTAATATAAATAACACTATTTGTATTTATACTGTACTAGCATCCCGCCCTCGCTTCGCTTCGGTGTAGAGCTGAAGTGTAGACTACAGTTTTTGTTCTCAGGCTTGTATTATACACAATGACATTCATCTATGATTCTTCTTATAACTGCATGCAAAGTTTCATACAAACTTTCATTCTCTATTTTATCTCCTTGGAGGTAGAATTGATCAAAATCCTTTCTTAGCGGATGCCTACGTCATAACATCTATCTGCATGCCAAATTTCAGCCCGATCAGTCCAGTGGTTTGGGCTATGCGTTGATAGATCACTATGTCAGTCAGTCATCTTTGAGTTTTACATTATATAGATGACACAGCAATCAAAATGCAGGTAAACAATTAATGTATATTTAATCATTATGTAATGAAAGGTAACTTCATGAATCATCTCTGAAGTCAGTTTTCAATTTGACGACTCTGTAAATAATAAAACAGGGAGAGATAAACAGCCCTTGCTGAGTTTCTTGTCGGTTCTTCAGTACAAGGTCTCCCTCCGTAGATAGACAGCCTAAACTGAATAAATGATTAGAAATATTTATTTATTATCTCAATAAGCCAGCAGCAGGCGTCTTACATGGTTTTCATGACTCCCAGTCTAATGGCCGCCTTTTATTCGCCAAAATAGAACGCTTAAAACTGCCTCAAGAAAATCACACGAGGAATTAAAAGTCCCGAGTACAAACAGTCCCCCGAACTACCGAGGACACCCAGACACTACCCACGGACTGAACAAAAGTATGCGGGTATAAAAGTATAAGGGTTGTTCTTCTTTTTAACCTACAAAAAGGTGTCTTCATCCGTTATAAAAAAATATAATCAAAAATTATCGGTATTATTTTATAATTCATGTATCAATGTGTACTGTACTAAAAATGTAACGACTATACACGTTTAAAATAAATAATAATTTCTATTTTAATACTAAAAATAATGTTACAGAGTCGTCAATCCGCGTGACAGAGGTGTATTCCATACAAATCACAGTTGTCTCTCGCTACCTGGGCCTGTGTATAATTCATAATAGTACGAAAAATATAAAAGACAGTAGCAAATATAAAAGTATTTTTTAATGCTGAAAGATATAGGCCATCTTGTAATAGTGACTAATTTTTTTTGACATTTTTAATAAAAGAATAAAAAAATCTTATAATCTCGTCTCTCACTACAGACTGTTTTAGTAGGTATATTCGGTCACGTGCTTTTTCGTTCGAACGACGCGTATACGCAGTTCGCTTTTCTCGCTGTCGATAGGATATTTAGTTCCCCCTCCCCCTCGCTGGGATTACCTCTGCAAGGCCGAGAGATCGCGCGTTAGTCGCCCGGAAGCTGATTAAGAATATGTGTGTGTTTATTCGGCGACAACTTCGTCACGTAAGTATTGGACAAAAATATACTTCTTATTATTTAACTTTTACGTAATAATAAACACTTTCGTGCCAACCTGTAAGATTTGTATTATGTGGTAACGTTTAATTATTATCGTTTTTGTAAGTAAGATTTACCCCTCCGTCATGCTACAACTCCGTAACAAACAAATTGTGACGGAGTGGTAAAGTACGTGACGGAGGAGTAAAAAATGGCAAGGAATTCAATATTATCTCACAAAATATAAGAATCTGTTGAAATAGGACTAGTACTTATTATCGTAACTGTTTCGATATGAAGTTTATCTAATGTTTACATACTTATTTATATATTTTCTTTTTTAAAAGACAAAAAGACAGCGGCGTTGCCGGGAGAAACAAAAAAATGATCCAGAAAAAGTAGCTGAAGTGAAACGCAATGATCTCGAGAGATATCATACTCGTAAGAAGCTTGTGGCTGACATGACCGTGAGAGAGCATCGTATGATGAAAAGAAAATGGCAACAACGAAATAAAAAAAGAACGGAAAACAAATGCTTGAAAACGTACTATTGAACACGCCGGCTCCAACGCCAATACCAGTAGATCCACAAATGCGTCTTTATTCTGCAACACCAACTAATTCAGAAGTATCTAGCTCAAGGGGGAGGAAAAGAATTCTAACACATCGCCGATATCTTTGCCTCTTGCTACAATAGCATCAGCTTGGCGTTTCAAAGCTCCGCCAATACCATCAGCAGCTCCGTTTCCATGTCCTGATTCAAAAAAATTCCAAGATATTTTATGAAAGTTGTACTGTTCAAAAAACCGGTACGCCATTAGGTAAAAGTTAATCTTTTCC